CATTCCACTTAAGGACTGTCTTGATCATAAAAAAGCATGTAAAGGACAGAGCGTACCAACTCGGCAAACCTTATATAGGTAAGCTACGTATATTGGAGGTGAAAACTCAACTGGAGCTCGGTTCTTCAACCTCATTGAGGATGAAGTCGGAAACTCGTTGGAGAAAAAGTTAGATAGACTGGGTATTTACAAACGAAGAATTTCTATTTGACAACCTATCAATCCTGACTCCCCTGGGAAAAAGCGATCACGCCGTTATAGCCTTCAGTTTTATCAGCAAAACTGAGCTAAAATATCCCACCAACAACTTGCGCTGGAATTTCAAATTGTTGAATGTGTCAGCTCTACAGGACCATCTACAACAGGTGGATAAGGGTGCTCACCCTCAACTCGATGCGGATGCTCAGTGAGACTTCTTACTACACACGCTCTTATGCGCTACAAACCATTCAGATCCTCAAACGGTCCCCAAAAGCTGCAAGCAACCTACAATCATGAAGAACCGCACTCTTCGCCTGCTAAGCCGCAAAAGGCACTGTTCGGCAGAATACGAACGAATTGACAACAACGGAGCGTACAGGCAATACAAACATATAAGGAACATATGCACGAAGGCTATAAGAGATGACAGGCTTCAGTACCAGACAAAGCTTATGGACAAATTTGCCTCTAATCCTAAAAGCTTATTCCGTTATGCAGCCTCTCTTCGTCAAGCCAAAAGTGGAGTTACCCAACTGCTAGGTCTTAACAGCCCGACCAACGACGACGCCGCCAACCTTTTGGCTGAACAATACTCTCGGACATTTCAACCGACCCACATCAACTATACTGATGACAGTTTCATCTGCAACTCCAAAGGACTTTCCGAAGTGAACCTGAGCGCTGACTTGGTATTCCGGAAACTGCAGCACTTAAGAATTGACACTTCTCCTGGCCCAGATATGGTTTATTCTGCTATACTGAGGGAAGCAGCCTCAATACTGGCAACCTCGCTTAGCCGAGGCAAACTACCGGAAAATTGGAAGCTAGCTCACATCACACCGATTTTCAAAGGAGGTCGACGCAATGAACCTTCAAATTACCGACCGGTGACTCTTCTTTCTATACCTCCAACAATCATGGAGTCCCTGATATGCGACAGTAAAATGCTATTTACTGTCCTTAAATTCCTTCTCACCCCAACAGCACGGTTTCAGGAAGGGTTACTCTTGTATAACCAACCTGCTGACTGCGGTGGACAGATGGACAAGCATCCTTGATCACAAGGGGAAGGTTGATATCATTTACCTTGATTTCTCAAAAGCTATTGATAGGGTTACCCATGTATGCCTTATCAATAAGTTCGAACGATTGGGTATCATACCACGACTGATTGATTGGCTCATTTCATACCTGAAAAATCGACATTTTAAGGTCAGGGTTAATTTCAATTTATCTCAGGCTATGAAATGTCCTAGTGGGATCCCCCAGGGCTCAGCACTAGGACCTCTTCTATTCTTGATCTACATAAATGATCTTCCTCAACAGGTATCGTCAGACTTGTTAATTTTCGCTGATGATGTGAAACTTTGGAGAGAGATACGCAACCGAGACGATGTACAGGCAATTCAGGAGGATCTGACTCGACTTCAAAGTTGGGCAGACGATAACGGACTTACCTTTAACACTTCAAAGTGTAAAGTAGTCCATCTGCGACATGTCGCAGACTACAGTTATAACTTAGGTAACTCATCTCTAGTAGTATCCCAAGTCGAAAAAGATTTGGGAGTCCTGGTAACCTACGATTTCAAGTCTTACGCTGTGACAAAACTGCCTTCGGAGCAAACCTTGCACTGGTAACGTTGAAGCGCATTTTTGGCCAGTTTGATGAAAGAACTTTCCACATAGTCTTTAACAGTTTTATTCGTCCCCATTTAGATTACGGAAACAGTATTTTTTCCCGCACCCCAAAAGATAGGGACACTCCGGAGCGTATTCAACGGGGAGCCACGAAATCAGTTCGAGGACTCAAATTCAAACCTCATGAAGAGTGCCTCAAATCACTTAACATTTACCCATTAAAGTATAGGCGTCTTAGAGGTGACATTCCAATGGCTTACATTATTCTCAACACTTCTGGACATCCCTTTAAACACCTACTTAAACTTAGTCCCAATACAAACCTAAGGGGAACCACAACACAGCAGAACGGAGTGTAGATACCACTTTTACTCCTTAAGAGATGTCAAATGCTGGAATTCGCTGCCAAATGAACTAGTCCAAGAGGAAACTTGAAGTATTCTTAAGGACTAAAGTTAACATCTTATTATGAGTTACTGATTTATTTTTTTTCTAATATATTATAGTTAATATAATTAGGTTCTTGCCTGGAGGTATTGAGGATCCCCTGCTACTAGACATGGAAGCCTGTGAAGTTAAAGCTTCTTCTATTCCATCCAAACCATCTCGAGAACACCTTGACCAGTAACACCTTTTATAATCGAAACGTGCCAACCTGGTGAAATCAAATGCGAGAAGGTTCGAAGATATATATGATAGAATATCGATATATCGAGAAGTGACTAATTTAAACTGGCTAGTGGTCGTAGATGTGAAGCACAGCGTTCTCACTCGTGATCTGGTGCGGATGCGTGACTTCAGCTAGGTGAGTCCATCCAAATTAATCTGGCCAGTATCAAACGTCGAAGACTTACAGAGTTATTGATTCCAGGGATTTATTTACTACTACAAAGATAACTGTCCTCTTGACAAATGTGAGGAAAAATGAAAAACACAAAGGTCGTAATAATAACTGAATAATAATAATGAAAAACTATTAAAGGATAATAGTAACTGATTGCGGTGTAAAATTACAAAACACTGATTTAGAAAAATTAACTAAAACAGACTACAAAAATGGAATTGGGGTGAAAGAAGGATGAGAGGTTGGTCTTATTGTATTTGCACGCAGATTTCAGGCTTCAGTTGGTGAAATGCCAATACCTCAGCAGTGCATAAGTTTTTGATTCGACCTCCCTTCGATTTAATTCCTTTGAATGTGTAGATTATTTTAAAAAGACTATTCTGGAGCATTTAGTCAACTATGGACAAATCGTGTCCATCACACTGTAATATTCAAAGCGCTTTCATTCATTATTTCCTTGATATGGTGAGTGAGCGCTGCATATCGGGGTGTAACTCTTACCGAGGATCAAATCTAATCATCCAGCATTTTGAGCTGTGTTACATAGACTGTCCATAGCGGTTACCTAGAACCTGAATCAATGGGTTGAACGCTTCTAGGAATAAACAAAGTCCACGAAGTTCGAGTGGTCGTTCTTTTGCGAAGTAGCTACTACATTCTTGACGAAAATTTATCAAATAGCTGTTGTACATAACTTTTACATTTTTCTAATTGTAAGCTCTCGTTCCTACTCAGTAACTGTTCTCATGTCATTTTCCGCTCTTAAATTAGTATGTAACTTAGCTATGTATCGAAAATACCCTTGCCATGTACCTATTGAAACTTATCATTTATGACACTATCCAGTAGTCTACTTAATAAATAGCGTTATTCGAGTTTAACGCAAATAATTGTGAGGTCTCATCCAACATCCTGATAACAGATTCGTAAGCACGGGATTGACTTATAAATCGCGTGAAAATTACAGTGACAGAATTTGCTCGATCTATGATATCCTAGGCATGAGCGGAAATGCAAAAAAGCGAATTGGACAACTTCCAGTTGACATTTAACTGGTAATTTCTAGTCATTTGTTATGAACAGACAAAGTCCTACACAAAAACATACACATCACAACCATTGGAACTGCTATACATGGTGTACGATTAACCGATTCGCGTTGAATGTGCTCGACAGGGATTGATGATCTTTTCGATATTAAGTGACTCAACTGCCGGATGATTTGAATAGAGATCAGTGACATTTCACTGTCCCCACGAATGTAATTTAAGCTAGATGAGCACTAATGAACGTGTTATATTCGGAATTCATAATTATCTGGCAATCAATTGCACAGAAATAATCAGTTAGTACAAATTCTACATAAACAAATATCAGATGCTAAAACATATTTGAGAACTTTAAGTACTGTGTTTAATTTACCTTTAGTTCCTGTATATGACTAGAGAAACAATTTGAGTTCTACACAAAAGCATGCACATCACAACCATACTTATCTATTGGAATTACAAAGACCTGTAGTGAGGCCCAAGTATTAGAGACTCACTGTAAAACATATCAATCAAATTAGTTCTAAGATTACGTGACAATTTCCAATGGCGAAATATCAGAAAGGCTACCACCAAACAAACGAAAATTGGATCCTTCACTCATATTACTTACTTATCCTTTCTGTTGCACCACATTCTACTTATTATCAGAATTGGGGTTTGTGGAGATTATAGTAATTTTATCAGTTGAATTCTAAGCTAGGCCACCGCTGAAAATATGGAAGCATCTATGTTTGGACACAACCATTTGCTCTAACAAAACTTCATGGGTAAACTCAAGTAGGATAACCAGAACTTCGTCACCGAAATGGACTAAGTTCTACAAATATTCTTCATAGTCAGTAAGTAATCGTTATTCTCCCATATTAATTTCTGACATTAAATGCTTGCATAGTGAGTGTCCCATAAACTCACTGTAGATTTTTCAACGTGAAAGGTAGAAATAGTACGAGATACAGCTTTATAAACAATGGATACTTGCTTTACAGATCGTAACGTACAAGTCATTTTAAAATTCACGATTAGTTGTATCACAAAACAGTATTATTGTGCTCCTTTTATTTCGGAAACTAATAACATGTAGCTGTTATAACTGGGTATTCGCATAAGAGGCATGTATATTCTTCTGTGACTAAACCTGTTGTTAATGCATAGAAATGTAAGTTCAAATAGACAATAAGTTTTCGTATACATCAAACTAACCTTTCTTATTCCAGTAGCACTTATTAATATAGCTTAACTTTCGCTAACTAAAAGAACACTACTTTGAAGTGATTCAGTGAAATGTTGCTGTTTATTTACGTACTCATTTTCTAAACAAAACTGTACAAAATGAATAACTTGTTCGAAAAATGATTTTCCACCCTGCTGCCAGCTGGTCGATATATTTTTGAATTACAGAAAAGTGGTCATTTGAATACTGTAAATTTTTATTACCTACCTTTATCATAAAACATATAAGCAAAATTGAATTCACTGAACATTAGAATAGCAAATGGTATACTTTTGCAGGAACTGTACAATTTAGTAGTATTTAAGTCGAATAAATGCGTACAATATGACAGGCAATTCCGGAAAATAAGAAGAGAGAATACATATAGTTAGATGTCAAACAAACAATGAACACAGGATATCATAAACATGACATTCATGTGAATCACGGGGGATTATTTGTATAAAAGAAGACAGGGACAAAGACATTTACAAAAATTATTAAGAGTAAACAATGTGACAGAAACCCAGTTAATTAGCAGCTCGCTCCGGTTCTATTAGACCGTTGGCTTTTTTAGATAAATCGACCTCCATTTTTTCTACAAAATCGCTTTTGGACTCCGAACGCTAAAACGAGAAATTATTAAATGATTGATAAAGTTAAAACGAGCGAAAGTTAAGCCAGATGTTCAAATCTCAATTCTAATGATAGATTTAACCTCTAAACTCGTATTCTATGGTAGTTTATGATTTAAATGACTAATAATCATGTATGAATACAAGTGTTCGATTTTATCGTAAAGATTAATTTTATTAATAGGCAAGTCGTATTGTTTTTAAGCGTAAACTTATCTGACTTTCGTCAAACTCCGCACGCAATTCACACAACCAAATGAATATCCATAACCAAAAGGAAATGAGTCTTTATCACCACATACAAATAAGCCAGTGACGAGAATCACTATTATTTATGATATGACCAAGTACTATGTGGTTTCTGGGCAAATCAGAGATACGAGCTTGTTGAAACAGATTACTATCTCCTAAAGACTTACTAATGGGAATTTTCAATCGTGTAAAAAGTTAGTTTAATACAATTCCTCCCATTTATAAATTTGAATAAGGCAAGAAAAATTAATGTAACAGAATAACATGAATCCACCATATTTCGCGATTTCTAGTCAGCTGCTTACAGCCTAAACATAATAGTACTAATCATTAAAAATCAGTGTACACGCGTTATATTGTAGTATCAGAAGTGTTATCAACAATAAGGATTAATGAAAAAAGCAATAACTATGGAAGAACTATAAGTGTTCATATGTTAAATAATGTGAATATAAAAATATTCTTGTATGAACGACTGAAAATATAGAAACAAAATTATTTAGAAATAAGATATTCATGCTATAGTTATGTAACCCTTAAAACAAAATTAACTGAGTACAGATCAGATAATAAGTTAGTATTAACAATTAGTGTCATGAAAAAAATTGCATAATAAACATTTGTGAATGAGTTCACAAACGCAGACCAAGATTGGTAACTGAATAATTTTAGATACACAAATTTGGTTTGTCTCTTAATGGCGACTGCTTCGCCAAACAGTAGTCAATTCGACGATTAGGACAATTAATGAACAAAGGACGTTGAATTACCACGGTTTGCTGAAAGCAATTGTCATAAAGAATTATTAAGTAGTTCAGTTGGATAGTGTTGTAGATATTTAGTTAGCAATGGAAATGGATAGACGGTTACCTAAAAGCGAGGACAAGGTCACATGAACCTAAAACCGAACAGAAGTGTTAAGTGCCATTCTATTAGATCTCTCACTAATCAATTGTGTATAAGAATGAGAAAATATACACAGATTAAGAAGGATGAATAAAATCTCAGATTATTACTACTACTAACTCTCCATCATGAACTAATCAAGTCACTAAACAGATAACAGTTGCTGATAGATACAATATGGCTCTATTATTAATAGTTTGGTTGAATTGGAAATGTGGTCAACGAGATGAAAGTATCCAAGTGCGATCTCAGGAAGGTCTTCTAATTTTGTGCTAGAGATAACATATTGAAAACAGTATGAAACGATTATGAACAACTACATTTCAAAATGGGTACAGGAATATCGATCTTCACTACGCTACCGAAACATCTTGAAAGGTACAGAAGTATGAAACAGGTGGGGATCAGTACATTCATTAGTGTCAATCGTATTTATTGTTTAGTTCTAAACACTAGTGAGAGCGACATTCAACACATACTAACAAACTACATACCTAAAAAAGTAATTACTTGACACATTTCAATAGTACAATGATGACAGTTAACTAAAAAAGTGGTCTACAATAGGGGACATAACATCTAACTATCATAAGTAATCATAGAAATCAGTGATGACAAATTGATTTTACCTTGTCACTAGTAGAATCTGACTTTTTAGACCCACTTCCTTCTTTACTGTTTGATTTCGTGGTGGATGAACTGGCATCTTCATCCGTGCGTGCGCGTTTTGGTTGGTCTCGGTGATTTTGAACATCTCGTGAAGCTGATTTGCCTGATCGAAGTGTAGTGCCTCCAAGTCCAGAACCTTCTTCTGGATCGTCGAAAAACTCATTATTGGGCATGATGGCTTTATCCGCAGCCATTATTGAAATCCTCTTGTCTGGATCAGCTAAATCTTTTGCAACAGCATCATTTTCGTCAAAATCGACAATGTCATCCGGAATATCTAACGGTCAAGTTACAAAATAAGATAACTGAGTGCTGAATATTATTTAAAAATGTAGACAAACATTAAATACTGACACCGAGCATATTTCTGCTCCCAAAATACTGGTACAAAAATGACTTAATCTTGTGAATAAATCTATCTTAAAGGAACTGAATATTTCATGAAGGTGAAAAATATGGTTTAGCGAAAATCCCATAAGGTTCCGAACACGATGACGTGCGAAAACAAATCAGATCTAGGTTAACCAAAAGTCTAAGGACCGATCGTAAGCAGTGGTCGGCAAAGAAAGCAAGAGATGGAAAAGGCAACGGCTGTAGGTAACATAAGACGGCTTTTCAGACTAATAAAAGAAACTGGAATTAAGAGTCAGTCAGTCAGCTACAAAGTAAGCCCACATGTTTAGAAAGATAGGTGGGACACTTTAAGGAGCACTTCAGCTACTCTACAGCCACCCACTATTTCCAAGAAGCCTGATTAGAACATAAAAATAGGTCCCCAAACTCTAATTGAAGTTTAAAAAGCTATAGCTGATCTGAAACGAGGAAGAACAGCTGGTCCAGATGGATTAACTCCAGAGGTCTTTACGAATGGTGGTCTAGTTTTAGCGATTAGGTTGACAAATATTTAAGCTAAAATCTAGGAGTTGGACGTAATCCCATCTGACTGACCGTTTCAATATATAAGGGGTCAAAATCACCCCGTGGTAACCATAGACGCAATGGTTCAACTAACATAGCATTTAAAATACTAACCTCAATAATTATCGCACGCCCAACAAATATTCGTGGACTGCAAACACAAAAAAATCAGATACTCGTAAGTTACTAGTATTTGATCACAGATGTCTCAGAAATATTACCAGAATCTTCTGGGATGACCAGGTAAGTCATTATTTTACTTTGAACACAAATATTGGTGCAAAGGGGCACTGATTACATATGCGCCACACAAGTCACTTGATTTGTGTACGGGCTGCGATACTATCCGGTGCCCAAACCGTAGCAGGTGGTTTTCTTAGGGGGCCACACCCGGAGCCTTCGACCCAAAAGTTTGATCCACAAGGCATTGGAACAACGTCAGGGGACGCAGTTCAATGGTAGCTGGTGACCAATAATTGAAATTAAAATAAAGCTTTATTTAAATTCATAAAGGGAACTAATTACATGAAATTTTTGAAAAGACCAATAATTGGTTCATACACCATCTATAAGTAATGGTGAGGTTAGATGTAGAGTATTAGGGGATGATAGTAAATTAGTTGATGAGGTTGTGAATCTTCACCGACTGAGATGGTTAAGGCGAGTATTACGCATGCCCAACACGCGATTACTTTGGCGCACAATGATGACTAATGTTGGAGACGGAAGAGTTAGGAGGGGTCAAATCAAAACGTGGCCAGAAAAATACTTGCTACAAGGTTTCATCATATTTTATCGATCCGTTGTAGGGAAAAATTTCGCTCTCAGGCATCATACATAGGATGTAATAAACTTAATGCCTCCACTACTGAACAAATAGTATTTGACAACACAGTATATATACATATATATAGAAAGATCAAATGAGTTGTATCTATGTGCAATTTTAAAGTGTGATGAAAAGTGATAGATCGGGGGGTTTCTTTACACTAACAGTTGAAAATCATATCCATAGCAATTAATCTCATTACTGTAAACAGTAAGGGAAGACAATCAGTTGGATCTGACCAGTCAGATAAACAGGGTCATAACAAGGTAACTGTTGTTTTAACACTAGCACTACTCTAAGTATTTCGGTACAGCTTGAAGGATAGGAAAGTACATCTAGTGAAAACCGTATTTAGTAAATATTTACTAACAGTTAAACATAAGATGTACCTTGCATTTGAACACTAGGACAGTGAGGTATCATTCGCAGATTTTCAAATAGTTTCGTTTTTATATGCTCAAGATATTCATTAGTATTCTGATTAGCCATATTGCTCGGACTTATATGCAGCTTGAAGTCAGGGCCGAAATACTCATAATAATCATTGTAGGGTAAATCATTGGGGATCTCAGTTGCAAGGGCAATAGATGTTTCATTAGTCCAGCATCTAGCAACATTCCGGATTGTATAACCACCACCTGTGACAAGGAAATAACATGACCATAAAATAAAGTGACTGAAATATAAAATTACATTAATATATGCTCATGACAGAAGTAAAAAACATGACATGCATCTTGGGGATATTGAAATATACTGTTATTTTAGTTTTCGTTCAGTGGTAGTCAGTAAATATGCATGGTGAACAAATTATTACACTTGCAAGCATGAAATTTAACTTGATATATATTTCGTAGTAAAATCATGAACACTAGAGAAAACAGCACAATGTACACAGAAACGTGAATAAATATGCGATTAAATAAGCAATTAGATACAAACCTCCTACAAGAAGAAGCGGCAAAGGAAATGAGCGGATGAATTCGACGCATTTTCCGTGGCCTTTCAGACTAAGATTGAAACACCCAAGTCGATCACCACATAATGAGTCAGCACCACACTGTAAGACAACGGCCCCGGGTCGAAAAGTTTCCATAACCTAGACAATGTTAAAAAAATTAGTGAAACATACTTTCGTTACGACAGGCTTAAAAATACGCTCGTAGCAATCATCATCCATCCCATCTCTCAGTGGACAATTGACAGCGTAATATTTACCTCGACCAGCACCAATATCTTTTAGATCACCAGTTCCAGGAAAATATTCGCCGTACTTGTGGAAGCTAACGGTCATTACTCTATCAGTAGTATAGAAAGCTTCCTGTTTGATTAAACGATCAAAATTTTACTTACTTCAACACCATCACCATGATGAATATCAATATCCACATAGAGAACTCTTTGGTGATATTTCAGAAGTTCTAAAATCCCTATTACAATATCATTGATATAGCAGAATCCTGACGCCTCAGATTTCTTTGCATGATGGAGACCGCCGCCCCAGTTAATGGCGATGTCAGTTTGCTGTTTGTTCAGTTTCACGGCTGCAGCAATAGAACCACCAGCTGATAACTGGCAAAATTCGAAAAGTCCATCAAAGACTGGGCAGTCTTCGCCAACATTGAAACGTTGCATTTGTTTATTAAATTCATGCATATTGTCTGGTCTTACATTCTTCAAGAATTTGACATATTCGTCACTATGGAATCTTGTCATATCTTCGCTGTATGCTTTAGATGGCCTATAAACTTCCATTTTTCTATATAAACCATAATTAAGAAGAAGATTGTGGGTCATCCTTATGCGATGCGGTTTCATGGGATGTCCTTGACCATAATAATAATTTCCAATATCACCTAGATGTGGAATTTTTTGGAAAACATTATTCAATTACATGACTGTCAGAAAGTCGATTAAAACAAGATAGCTTCTGAAAGCAAAACAAAATTCTGAATCGCGAAAAATCAAAGCTTTTCAAATAGTCCACAAGGAGCAAAATTTTGTATTTGAATGAATGTGGTTTAACGGTAGTTACTTATCCAACTACAACAAGATCTCTGCTCCGTAATCAATCGACTTTCAGCAATAACAAAATAATGATTACAGTAGGGAATGAGCTCGAAAATTACCTTGATTTAGCCTAGAAACCATCTTACCTACGTTACTACCGACATCTATCATAAAGATTTAGTGACTATGGACGGAAGTTTCCTTTCTCAGTGTCAGTAGCTGATGCAACTGAATGACCGAAGGCAAAGGATATGTAGGCGAGACTATAATTTGTGGACGAACCAATCACGTATAAGATGAGGTCTCAGGTTTTGGCGCGGAATTCACTCATTTATTCGGACAAATAGTTTTTGCATTATAGCTGATGTCAGTTTGTGATGAAAACCCTAAATCTAATTTCTATCTCTAATCAACTGTAAATCACAATTCTATTTCCTCACACAGGTTTACAACCCTTATTTGGTCCCGGTTATTAGGTGGACACTCTCAAGGTCAGTCTGGTGTCGCTCAAAGGTCGCCCATTAATTATAGTCTCACTGATTTGTATTTGAACCTATTTTTCTAAGGAAAACAAGCCTCAGTAACATACCTGGAACCTTATCTCATTTTATGTTTAGATTGTGCTATCCTGAATTAAGTCTAGCACACCTATTGTTAGCAGCTAATATTATCAAACATGAATATACCATGTGAAAAGTGTATAAAGCTCAACAAATTACATGGGTTAACCGCTATATTTTTGACAAATTTTTGATTAGGTGTGCAGACAAATATAAACGTCCGGCGATAAATGCATGCTGATAAATCTAACAAGTAAAAAGCTGAGTATGATCCAGTCAAAAAGCATGTCATCCTAAGTCAAAGTAAAACCACTTCCAAAGTGACAGAATTGCATGAGCGGTCCGGTAAGACAGCATACTTAAGTGAAACTTCGACGTATAATCACATTTGAATGCGGTTCTCAGCATCAGCTGATTCGAGTTACGGCACTAGAAATACCGGAATAGGTTAAAATAAAACTCAGTAGTAACTACAAAATTAAGGACAATTACATAATAACAACGGGTAAAGGATTACAGATGTTTTAATTACCGAACTGTTTTTCTAGGAACTCGAAGATAATGTCTTGGATTTATTACCTGAGGTAAGGTTGCAGAGAATAAGATTTAAGTTCATCTACCCAGACGTGAAACAGATACTCTAGAGTGAGGGGGGGAATGGGTGCTTGGATTTCGCTACAAATAAGTTCAATAGCATAACTTTTTGCGGTCACACTATAAGCTGAAGGACGAATTTGGATTAACGTCCTAATGGTAATTTTTCATTTTTTTGTACTAAGAAATGATGAAATACAATATAAACCGTCCATATGGGAACGTACACCCCTGACATCAAGTTATTTAGTGCAATCCCCTTTAATTGTCTATCTAAATATTGAAGCTAGCTTAATTACTAAAATGCTAGCTAGTCATCGAGAACAATGAACTTTGGAGATGGTAACTTGTTAGGAGTTTCACAATCCAGGTCTTGAGAAGGTATGGGGAAACAAAACTATTTTGGTCAGTTGAGCAAGAGAATGACTTGAACTAAACAAATGAGCAAAATACATGTTACAGAATGCACTTACCGTCATAATAGTAGCAGACCTTTTTCGTAGACGCAGATTCCATCTTTCCGTTCACTGAAGCAAGTCAAACAAGCTGTCAGCCAACCAACAGAACTAAACCAAACAGTAACGGTGGTCAATTAAAACAAAAGCTGTGGAAATAAAAGTATAATAATTAAAGTTAAATAATTTTATGATGGATAATAAAATTAGTCTATCTTGATAAATTTCCCCGCGCCATTTGAACAGGAGACGAAATGAATATAACGATACATGAACCATCCTAAGCTAGATTACCTTCGACAATTTGTGAAACCCAATGACCCAAAGGAGGAATATAAGATACTCGCTCCAATCGGTAGTGGGACCTACGGAGATGTCTTCAAGGTTAGTGTAATAGTAGGTAGAGAGCATCTTATTCTCATAATTTATCCAGATAGTTAATCTCTAAGGTCGTTGCTACGCTTCAGTGCCAACATTTTTGCTAATAAATTTAAATAATGTGATGATGTGAGTTTAGAATAAACAAATTTTGGCAATGACCATATGCTTGACAGTATACTGTGAAGCATTTTGTTGATCTATGAGGCGTCAGTTTTCGAACTCGATGCAAAAGTTCTAATTTCAACTTGCAGAATTTTCGTTTGGTACATATCCAGAATTGCGTTTTTGCCTTACTTGAAGGTTCACAGAGTTATTTTGCTAACATTACTGAACCACACTTACACAAAACAATCTTTTTAGTTCTACAGCGTTATATGTCAAATATATTTCAAACATGGATGACAGTCACAAATCACTTCAGTCTCTGAGTCCGTTTCAGTTATTCTATTAAAAAAATTAAGTTGTCTTAGGTACGGTCTTGAGTAACTAGAATTATTTAAACTTGCTATCACAATTTATTGCTTCCAGATCTGTTCAGTTTTACATCTATTAAAATGAGGTTTTACGTCATTCATAACTAATTGACTGGACATAACCACATGAATTTTTCTGCCGGGATATATTTAACCATTACCTAGGGAATATTTCCTACTTTCGTTTTTTAGAGAAATTTTTATGATTACTGGAATAAAATAACTTTTTGTACTTCCATTATTGAGGAGTGACAAACCCCAGCCACAGTCTTCTGTAAATAAGAAAGATTAATTCAGCGAAGAGTTCTCTTTTCGGCGAATTCATTTTCAAAGCTGTACAATCGCAAATATATATATATATATATATATTAGGATGATAATAGTTGTAATAATACTGATACTAAACTTCTGTTAGACATAGTGACAGTGAGGTGGAATGAACAAAGGTAGTAGGAAAACTTTTAAACAGGAAAAACTCAATAATCGTTCGATTGTTAATGGCTCAAGAATTCATCAAAAGATAGATAGGGAAATTATCATTGAGAAACGACGGCTCAGCATTCTGCGAGTAATGGACCAAGAGGGGATCCCATTGCTATGCCATCCTTCTGTCTATTATTTATTTATTTATTTGAACACATAAATATTGGTACGAGGGGGCACCAGATATATATTCTCCACACATTGAGAATGAGAATGAGGAGAGAAAAAGAATGTAATGTGCGTATAAGAGAGAAGAAAGAATTAAAAAGAAAACAATAACGACCACAGATTAGTGTATGGTAATGTAATAATAATGGGGGAAACGGAAAGGTACAATCAGAAGGAATTCTTTCAGTTAAGGAATTTACAACCACCTTTGATGAAGAAAGCAAAAGAAGGTTACAGCAGGGTCGCTACTGGCTTGTATTCTGAGCCATATCTGATAACATCTCTAGCCACTGTGTTGCGCTATCTCTCGGACCCCAGTCAGGGAGTCTTAAAGGACCAACAGAAGTCAGCCCTTTGCAGCTTTCTTTCATGCCACGACACCATGTCATACACTGACCACTAATCCGCTTCTTACAACCAGTCCCACAGTCGGCAAATAATGCACGACGTGGAATTCTCTGGGACGACATTCGTAGAACATGTCCAAGCCACCGAAGTCGGTGTTTCAAGATGGTGACACCAATTGCATTATCGTCTCTGTGCCCTAACACACGATGCCGAACCTCTGCATTACTAATATGGTGTTGCCACTGAATGTCAGCAATCCTTCGGAGACAACGATGATCAAACACAGAGAGTCGTCTAACGTCCTCAACTCGGAGAGGCCAGGTTTCACAAACATAGAGCAAAACTGCTCTCACCGACGCGTTGTAGATCCAAACTTTTACAGCCAGACTAACATCACGAAGGCGCCAAAGATGGCACAGACTAGTATAAGCCGCTCTGGCTTTCACTATACATGCAATGACCTCATCACTCACTCCACCACCAGCACTTATGCAGCTACCCAGATACACGAACTTCTCGACTACTTCTATCTGCTCACCATCCAGGGTGAGTACAGGATTGGAATCCTGCCAGTCTTGTAGAAGTACTTTGCACTTCGAAGGTGCAAAGCACATATCATACCTATGGACACTGATTGCCAACTGATTAAGTGCGGATTGCATGGCTTGGGCATTATCGCACAGTAAGACAATATCGTCCGCATACTCAAGGTCGAGAAGTCTTTCTCCAGGCAACAGATCCACACCACCATTACTTACATTCATCAGAGCTGTTTCCAGAATGTCATCGATGGCAAAGTTGAAGAGGAATGGTGAGATTGGGCAACCCTGCCTAACCCCACTGCTCGAATGGAACAATGGAGAGAGGTGGTTGTATGCCCTCACTCTGCCTGAGGTGTTTTTATACAGGGCTTTTAAGATGTTAATAAACTTCTCAGGCACACCCTTCTTCAATAGACAATCCCAGAGAACAGTCCTATCCAACGAATCGAAGGCAGCCCTGATGTCAAGAAACACTACGATTGTTGGCCTTTGAAAAGTATGACGGTATTCTAACATTTGGCGGAGAGTGAAGATATGATCAATACATCCTCGACCGGAACGGAAACCAGCCTGCTCCTCTTGAGTCAATCTTTCTCTGATTTTGAACAACCTACGAAGTATGACGGAAGCCAACAGCTTGGACGCAATTGGAAGTAGACTTGTCCTCCGATAGTTGTTACAGAAACGACGTAAACTTTTTTTAAACATAGGGATAACTATCGACTCATTCCATGATGTTGGAACACTCTTCTGTCTGCGAATTACGTCGTTGAATGTAGACTGTACGTTGCAAGTGAAATGTAATAGTTCCTTCTTTTTTTTCATTCTTTTATTAGTGATTTCTGCATTTGTCTACTGTTTTCCAGCTATAAGCTTAAGCCAGGTAATATATCAAGGTGTGGTTAATATTTTAACTTGCACAGAAAGTTGACCACTAAAAATGATTGCTACAAATTTTCACCAACTATGTTGGCTGAATAAGTTAGATTTAACTTAATTTTAAATTATTATCTCGATCACTATCGCTATCATATATTTTTTCATCATTGCTTTTGTGATTAGTAGTCAATCCTATCAGTTCACCCACTATAATAATTAAGTTACACCTACTGCTGGTAAACGATTACCTTGTGATGTGATTCAGCATCACTTACGGTGGCCTAGATGTATTCACCTTAGGTCTTGAGTTTCAGTATTCCTTTGTACTTACCGTTTCACTCCGTCTTCTACAACCATATTCTCAATGTGATTTGCTTGCTCACCCAGTCAGTCACAGCGTAAAACCTGTACGTATACACATTGATTCAAGTTGCCACACCCCATTAGCATAAAGGGATTTTATCAGGCCAAATCTCAGAATATTTGAGGTAGTAACACTATCAGTGGTAATAGGAAAACTAGGCACGAAAGAGACAACTGGAAAAGAAAATATAAATTAGCAAGATAAAAACAAAAAAATTGTGATGGATTTAGAAAATTTTTTAACTCCCCTTATTGTTACACTTACTTTGAACCTTTTTACTATTCTGTCATTTTTTTTCATTTCTCACACTATCTAAGTGAAACATTTGTGCATTTTTACGGCACTACGCCTTCAAAATATTTTATTTAGAATACTAATGCATATGTTGGAAGTCTTCATGACTCAAGGTGAAGTAATCTCACTTTATACCACAGTAATTCTAGTCCTTGCTTTGTAAAAGCTTATCTGTGGAGCTATCGGCTGAAAAAATCTTGTTTCCTTACAATACTTGTGACTCATTGCTAATGATGTATATCCAGTCAGGTCTGCTGAAATTTCCGAATGACGATCTAGGGTTTTGACAATTACTACGTAAAATTGTTTTCCCGCTAACCAAATCAGTTACTAATTTATTCCATCTTAGTCTAGTAAAAAGTTTTCTTGACACGATTTTCCTGTGCGTTATTTCCCTTATGTTTAAGTAATCGTTTTGTTTTGTCCAGGCGGTTCATCGTGAGAGGCGGACATTGGTGGCGGTTAAAGTTATGAAGATTGATCTAAAGGATGACATTCGATCAATTTGCCAAGAAATACACACCTTGAGAGAATGTCGGCATCCAAATATTGTGCAGTTTTACGGTAGTTATCTTAGGTAACTTATCTACACGTAATCTATATGAAAATTGATTTTATTCAGGAATAACAAATTATGGATATGCATGGAATATTGCGGTGGACAATCTATGCAAGATATTTATCTCTGTATGAAAAAATAACTTATCATAAACTGTGGATTGTTATTTTTCGTGTAGATACCAGGCGTCCCTTAGAAGAAGACTGTATTGCATTTGTCTCCAGAGAAACTTTACAAGGTTTGAATTTTATGCACAATCGTGGACGTATTCATAGAGATATTAAAGTTAGTGTATTTTCTCACTTCTTTGACTGAGATTTATGTTTAGGGTGCTAATATTCTTCTGACAGATGACGGTCATGTGAAAGTGGGTATGTTTGTTTGTAATCAGTAATTTTTACCTGATTATTTTAATCTTATAAATTAGCGGATTTTGGTGTTGCCGCCCAACTGAATACTTCAATTGCCAAACGAACAACTTTAATTGGAACACCCTACTGGTGAGTTTTCATTGATTTCCTTACTTTTTCGAGTAATAATTCTTGATTTTTTTTACAAATTTGTCCGCAAAGTACATATATTTTCTAAAAATAAATCACACAAGAAAATTGTCTAGTATTTTCATGTCAATTAACAATGAATTTTGTTGATTGAAGGACTCATGGCTCAGAATCGGTCGTAGTGAGAAAGATATATCCACTCTTTTCCTCACCTTAATTGTAAAACTCATACTTTTCATTCCTGAATCGTATGTTCTATGTCTAAAAGTACTGTTACTACTACTTTTACTACTCTAGCATTTATCTTGAAAAATTCATCTTGTGCAGATATGCTGTGGCGATTTTCACAAGTGCTCATATGTATCAGGTTTTACGTTATTAACGACTGACTGACTGATTGAAGGATAACACATTCTATCTTTAACTACTTTGAGTTACATTGTTTCTCCCCCTCTGAATGCAAGTTGTTGCTCCAGAACTGGCCTACGTCAACACCTGAACTAAGGATAGGGAGTGAAGTAGTCAAACGCGTCGACAGCTTGACTTATCTTGGAAGTCTGATCAGCCCTAATGGGTTGGTGTCTGACGAAATCTCTGTACGGGTTCAGAAAGTTTGTTTGGTTTTTGCCAACTTACTTCACCTATGGCGAAGACAAAATATCCTCCTATCAATTATGGGACGAGTATACTGTGCAGCAGTTCGTTCTGTTCTACTTTACGGCTGCTAAACGTGGCCATTAAGAGTAGAAGATACTCTTAAGTTACTAGTATTTGATCACAGATATCTTAGAAACATCGCTCACATCTGCTGGGATCATCGGGTGAGTAATGGTAAGGTTAGACGCAAGGTATTAGGGAATGATGGTAAATCAGTTGGTGAGGTTGTAAATATTCACTGACTGAGATGGTTGGACCACGTGTTACGAATGCCTGAACATTGATTACCAAGACGCGCAATTCTGACTAGTGTTGGGGATGGTTGAAAGAAAGATAGGGGCGGTGAAACCAAAACATGACATCAGTCCATAAAGTCACTGACTTTTGGTCTAAGCCATTTTGGTAAATGCAGACTACTTGGTTGGGGTCTGCGTGACTATCGTAACCAATGGTTAGAGACTCTGGGTAACATGGCTCTTCGTCTTTTCTTAAACCGTGAGATTAAAATTACTTTATACCTTTCTTTCTAATTCTTTCTCTCTGTATTATATCGTTATATACAATCTTTCTTTTATATATTACTATCATTAAGGTAACTACTTCTATGAATTTAGTGTTCATCTTGTTGTGCTAGTGAGGTATGGCAACTTGGACCGATGTATATATGTGCCTGATCTTACGTTGTATCTGGCTGACATTATTTATTTGCAGTCCACTAATACTACCCAGGTGTCCAAACTGAAATGTATCAGACAAGGTTCATACTTGATTTACTGGTTCCAAGCTGAAGCTGACCGCTTCAGTCATTAAGCCGCCGCTCTATAATCTTGTAAATTCAGAAAAAAATATTTCCTTAGCAATCGTGTTTCGGCGTTTATTGTCGTTATTTGGGTGTGAATAAGTATAATTGATTCTGCTGGACGAAAGGTTCTGTGACAGTGTTCATCATTGAGAAACTTACCAAAGATGTACATTACCCTTGTGAAATCCCTGTACTCAGACACTACTTGTCGAGTCAGGGCATTCGGCAAACTGTCATATGGTGGTTGTCAGGTTTGTCCACTTTCTCCATTTTGCCTAATTTTATCATAGATGTTTTCCTATGAACAACGCTCACCTAACTCTTCAGGGGTTGGTTTTCTATTAGTAGGTTTACCTATCGTTTTGGAATACACATAGCATAGTACTATTAGGTGAAAACGCTGAAAAAGTACAATTTTTGGTCACCTTGAACAACAATGAAAACATATTTAGGGTGCACTTCTCTCTCCATAAATTTAAAATTTTGCTTCAGGACTGGTCTGTGTTAACGCCTGAGCTAATGATAGAGAGATGTAGTTGGGCGTACCGGTCACTTCACTTATTTTGGAAGTCTCATCAACTCTGGTGGGTTGGTGTCTGACAAAGGCTTGGTCTGCTTTTGTCAACTTGCGTTGCTTGCGGAGTAGACGTGATATTCGTCTGCCGACTGAAGGAGCTGTACACTGTGCAGCTACCCACTTTACGTTGCTTTATGGATATGAAACATGATCTGTGAAAGTTAAGGAGATGCATACGCCGCAGGCTTTCATCTTCGCAACCTTTGCTCGCGCTTTGTGGAATTGCTGAGCGATGTTAGAGATAGGTGTTATATCCTTATAGTCTATTAATTATCACGTGATAGGGTCACCAATTAGAACACCGAATTACTGACCAAATCAATGATGCATAAAACAGTACGAGCAGCCTAGAGTCAACTCTGAGTTTCTATTGGTTCTCTGAGGTAGTAGCTTCTCGTCTAACACAGCCGGTCCAGTCCAGAACACAAATACCAGCCTCCATTACATAAATCATGTATTTCAGACATACTTGGTTTATGTTTACATACAAAATAAACCAGACCATATTATACCACAAAATAAAAAATAACATTTATACAAGATCAGGCTAAAAGTGGCTGTGATTGTGAGAGACCGTAACTAATAAATTGGAAATAAATTTAGAATAGTAAATCGCATAATAGTAATCAATAAGTCAAATGGGAGCTTATAGTAAGAGGAATATGAATATACATATAATATAGTTACTTAATAGTTATACAGCAAGAATATATATAATAACTCCCTAAATAGGTCCTAACAGTTACCGTTCACTTATTCTTCGTCCAGATATAACAATAGGGTACTAGGCAAAGGTAAAAAATAAGTTGACGAGGCTTTAAATATTCGTCGATTAACGTAGTTAGGACACATTGCTTACTCCTAGTCACCTCTTGCCTTGGTGGTTGGCTTTTGCTGGTATAGAAGTAGGTCAAACAAAAGCTAGAGGTAGCTATACCAAGACACTGCATCACTCCATTAAATGATTGACTTAGTCTGAACCATGTTGGTATGTGCATTAATGGCGACCAGAAGCTGGAAACGTTTGATGAAATGGCTCAGAATCATTCACAATACCACGAATACATTAACTGTTTATTCTCCCCTATATCATGGATCCCATCGTTCTTTCATATATACCCTTTCCACTCTATCTTTTGAAACCCTATTCTCAATGCTTAAACTCTCATTTTTATTGATATTACATTATTTCACTGTCTTTTTCCATACACATTGTTAATTTTATCTCGTTAAACTGATACGGTACGCCAACTCACATCTACGCCAAGCTGTATGTCGTTTATCACTGACTGGCTGAATTAGCATAACAATAGCAACCCGTTTTCTAATTATACTAACTCTTCACAAGTTAATTATAACTAGAAGGTGTTGTTACGTCAATTTTAATTAAACTTACAAAAATCCTCAGATCCACCTATCACTACCATTTCTTTGAATAGTTGTCATCAGCAAAAATGATGTAATAGTAGTTTCTTTCGTTTAATAGATTTTGTTAGTAATATGTCACCAACTATAAACTTATCTTACCAAGCAAACATTACACAGATTTTAACAACTCTTTTGTAACAAATGTATATGGAGAAAGCCTAAACCAAGAGAAATCAATTACCCAGATGTATTAATAAGTTCATGCTCATGCTGATGTTCTATTGGGTCGAAAACATAATTTTTAACCTAGTTCTATAGTATTTAATCACGAACATTGTTTACGTTGACTGCTAAATTCTTCTTCGATAATTTTGTAGGATGGCGCCTGAGGTAGCTTCAATTGAATCTCGTGGCTCGGGTTATGATGGAAAGTGTGATATTTGGGGTGTTGGGATTACTGCTATTGAATATGCTGAACTGCAACCTCCAATGTTTGATCTAGACCCTAGAAAGTAAGTATGTTTTTGGACTCTATTAAAAGTGAATTGTTTGAAATGTAACTATTTGTACTGTTGCCAGCTAAATGACACTTCTTTTTTATCATTCTTTCCCTAGAGCACTACAAATTCTGGGTTCGCGAAACTACAAGCCCCCTTCTTTACAAGACCGTCATAAATGGTTCGTTTTCTTTTTTTGATGAGTTGCTGTTATATTCGTTGTTGCAACATTTCTACAATGCTCATTGCTATTTATCAATTGTTCGGTTTAGTCTATATATATATATATATATATATATATATATATATATATATATATATATATATATATATATATATATATATATTGCCTGTTACCCTCGTGGAAGAGCATGGACTTCCTGCCAAGATTCTCCATCCAACTCTATCTTGGATAAACCTTTCCAGTTGTTATTCATTCTTTTAATGTCCACTTCCAGTTTTCAACGCAGTTTGTTCTGTGACCTTCCTCTTTCCCGTTCCCCTCCAGCATTCCAAGTTAGCGCTTGCCTCGTCATGCAGTTTGATAATTTCCACAATATATTTCCTATCCACGTCGTGTCTCTTCCTAATTTCTTCAACTAGAAGCTGGTTTGTTCTCTCCCACAATAGGCTGCTGCTGCTGATAGCCGGTCAATGGACATCGAGTATTTTTCGTAGACAATTTTTTATAAATACTTGTAACTTTTTGATGATGATTGTGGTAGTTCACCAAGTTTCAGCTCTGTGCAGTAGAACTGTCTTGACATTCGTATTGAAGAATCTGACTTTGAAGTTGGTTAACAGTTGTTTTTAGTTCTATGTGTTCTACAACTGTAGAAGTCCTACCCTTTGCCAATCCTAGCCTTCATGGCTGCATCAGGTCCTCCTTGCTATATATATCATTATCGTCCTATATTACGGTTGTCGTAAACCTTAAATGACATATTTTTATGTTGTAGAAATCATACCTGAAATAGCTAAAAATATTTTTTTCAGAATTTTTATGAGATATATAACAACATGTATTTAATATAACATTACAACGTAAAAACGTTTATCTTGAATATCAGATTTTGCATAAGTTTACAGTAAAAATAAGAAACATGAGGTCAAAGTGTGCCACTGTTGTATTGCGCGATGTCTGATTCTAATACTGATGAACATTCTCCCTATTCACGAGTTCAGTCGTCTATTTGCGTGAGAAGACTGAGTGAGGAGGAACAATATATTTTCTAAATTCCTGTATTTTTGTTTCTATAATTAATGGTTGAGTTAATTTTTGTAAAACAGTTGAATATTTTGAGTGTCTGCAAGCCATCTAGTCTTTTTGTCAACCATTGTCCTATCTTTTTATAATAATAAAAAAATAGTTTGATCATGAAAACTAACTAAATAAATATTCACTAAATACTTGGGTATGAGCCACGCTAGATATGTAAATGTTATCGAAACTACTCGAAGTAGGTGAAACGGGGTTCGAACCTGAAACTTAATGGCTGAAAGTTAAGAGCCCTAAACACTACACCATTACTCCACAATAGTTTGGCAAATTAAATTTTTAATACTACCTCGGGAGGGCATACATTATAATTCTTCAATCTTATACTGAGAAAAAGCTCTTTAGTACTCCTCGCTCATTGATGGTATGATAACTGATCAATCTAGGACGAACACCACCTTCAAAAAGATATTGTTAACATAAAATTCATACAAAAGTTGTAACTGGCTCACTTCATTCGTGTTGAGATATACATTTCACGATAGTTTTCACCACCAACTATTATCAACTATAAAACCATAAAAAGCAAACTAAAGTGGAAAACTGTAAACTATTGAATTTCAACTGAGTCATCAAATGACACGGTAATCACAACTTGAGCTAATTGATTCAATTTCATTTCATGATAAGGTTCAAGAGTCCATACTTCTACTAAGAAGTCCCAAACTAGAACTCCATAACTTTCAATTGGTCTTTGTTTTTATTACTTACAATGAAAATTATCTCCAATTTAAATAATCCTGGAAACCACTTTTACTGTAATCAAACAGATGAATTCACTAAAAGAACTTTTTTGATAAGGTTTTTCAATTATACTAACTACTATTAATTACTATATTAACAACAGGACTCTTGAAATGAAATTGATAGTGACTGATATACTTATCATAAAACACCGTAAATTCTTAATACTCATTTTCCTCTATATGCAGTTCAACAATGCATTTTAGCTCAATCTAAAATATCTCAAATGTCACTTAATTCAGCTTGATACTACCATTAAAAACAGCTATTTAAGTCAGTGGTACTAAATGCTTTACTTCATGTAAACAGTTAAATGTAAAATTCCATATTTAATTGTTGCGAAATTAAATTGAGATTTTTTCTTAGTCATATGATCTGTTGTTTAATTCATCCAGAAATATAATATGTGATATGATCAAGCTTCGAAACACAGTGCTTGTGATCGATTTTGAAAGAAGCTGATCCAGTAGCTTGATTGACAGGAAATCAATATTTACATACAATCACACAACAAATGGATCATTATTTAGAATAAATACGAATACCTAGCAGCACACTGTTTGATCATATGCTAGTTTTAGTAGTAACGCGATGACTGAGTTGCGAACAAACTTAACTTTTAATCTTATTTCATATTTAACACACTTGTCATTCCCCTTTTTGTGCTGACGTGCATCATGGTAATTCAGATTGATGTATAATGGTTCTGTATCCTATGTTCTTTTTCTTGAATTAATAATTGTACTTAGTGCTCCGATTTTCGACAAATCTATGCATTCTAAGAGACAATTTCTGAATACAGAACACTACTTCGTAAATCTGACTCGAGCACTCATAGTGCGAATTTGTTAGCAAACATTTTTAAGGATATTACTTAACACCAAATCATTATTTATTATACATAAACAATCAATTTTTCATAGGATTCCTTTGACCTTCAATTACGACTGTTAAGCCACATATGCACGTTAATTATCAAGGTAATTTCCAAGCTAATGTTGATAAGAAAATAGGCTATTTGCTTTTTAATGGATTTCCAATTTCAAATTCTTTCCTGTTCTGCTTACTTTCTGGGTTGAGGCATACGACTCTTTTATTCATCACTACTTTTTTTCTTTCCTGTCATTTTAATTTCAAAAAGTTTAGAGACAAATTATCATTCATATGTTATCATCTACGCGTCTACCATTGATTATTATTATTTCTATATATTTTAGGTCACCATTATTTCATTCGTTTATTAAATGTTGTTTAATCAAAGCAGAACGACGAAGACCTGATGCAGCTACAATGCTTACAGTAGGTTACATATACTTTAAGTATTATTTCATTGATTGGTTATGCATTCATTGTTGTAGAAGTGACTATTTTATCTTTATTTCCATTCTTGGTAATTCAGTTATTGACCGACAAGTTAACTCGTTGTTTTGCTATTTTGGCTGAATGATTTCCACTTAAATGTTATCAATAATTTCCTTATATGTATTCATAGACTCAGTCACTAGGGTTGTGGTTCCATCATTTATATTCTAGTGATAATTTGGTGATCGATTAAGTAACTATCAAGTTGGCCACTTTAGTTTTTAGATTTAATGGTTCATGGACTGTCGGGTTTGTAATGAATCTTGATAGTTACGCGTTTATCTTTTACATAATTGACAAATATGAATACGTGTAAGAGTCTCGAACATTGGAGTAAAACATTTTTCTGGTATTAATCGTTTTAAATATCTATTTAATTGATATTGACGTTTGATTATAATCATTTTAAAATCTATCACGATTTCTTAATTCATTAACTTGAATGATAATTTTTCTGATTTAATTGTAGCATAACTTTGTTACAAATCCACACTTGTCTACTTTATTAACTCAACGTCTGCTGTGCTATCGGAGACAATTAGAATCCTCAGTCAAAAATACTTATTCCCATGGAGACACAGGAATATCTTCATCAAATAAAAAGAATCCTCCATCCGGGGGTAATTTTATTCCTCCTGATAATCATGAACCACCAGTATCCTTTCCTGGTATGCCTATTTCAGTTCGACAGGAAGAATATTTCAAATCTCTTCGAGTCAACGATCTCCCGGTTAGTCACGGAATTGATGCTAGTGTTCCTGTGCATTTTGTCCCATCACAACAACTCATTATTGAACGAGAACCGGAACGATTCCCAAGTGTACAAATCCAAAGCAGTTTATCTTGCTCTGATTTAGCCGATGTAAGTTCAACATCTGTCTTTCTGTATGTTTTAAATTATCACCATTGCTCGTATAGTTATGAGTCATTTTCTTGTCATCTTAGTAGCAGTAACAAATCACTAACTGTTGATCACTACTGTTGATAAAATCCCATGATGAAGTATTTCACAAAAAAGACACTAGATTATTCATGTTTGATGTCATGTAGACTGACTGAGCAATCCTAGTGTACAACTTACATTTTTGATGCTGTTGTGAAAGTTCTCATATTTGCAATTTATTTTTAAAAATCAACGTAATATCGAAAGCTTTAATGAGTAAAAAACAATTGAGTTTGTCGTTAATAAAAAACAGCTCTGACTGCGGTATTAATCTTCCTCATATATTACGGGATTTCGCAATTTATTTGAATTAAAAGTAATAAAAGAATATTTTACTATTTTTCACAATTTGATCTGTGCAGTTTGGGGACTGTTAATAAAACCCCAAATTTTCAACTTAAGTTTGTATTTATTCCAATGTTAATTAACGTCGTATTAAATCTACTTCTGGTCATATACTGTCACTGTCTTATCTATGAAACAAGTGTGAAGTTATTGTCATTAAAAGTATGAAATCATGCATAATCCACCTATGTATCGAATAAATAACTAGTATTAAGTTCTGAGTACATAAATATGTTATAGTTTTTCATTATCGTTAAATGCCAGCTTGTAGAAAATCTTTATGAAAATATATTTCTGCAAATTACCGTTTCTTGATTGGGTTGTTATGCATAAAGCAGTAATTAACCTTTGAGCATGTTGGATTTTGATATTTTGAGTTTACTTTCTGTATAGATTCACATAGCTCTACATTTTACCATAACTGAAATTCACTGAACAATATTAAAGCAGAGAGATGTTAAAGTGATTTCTTTTAGAAAAGCCTTCATTTAGAGTTTTGCAAACGAGGCTACGTTATACTACGTTCATGGAATTCGCGTATTGATACCTTCTTTGTTGATTATTGGGATCTGTGATTGTATATAATACATTTGGTGACAGAACTTCATATCGGTCTCAATGGCATAATTGGATTCATTCTTTATATCCCTTCCAGATTTTGAGTTTTTCTTTGACCATATTCTGTGCATTGTTTTCAACTTCATTCATTCCTTTCTGACTAAATTCTCTAGGTGTATCGTTTTCGTCACTACTATTGGTATTATCACTTCGATTCTTTTATTGTTCATTCTGTGAATTATGGCCAGTTGAGATAATGTATGTTCAAAATAATTTGTCATCTGATAACTAACTGTATTTTCATTTTTTTATCACTGATTATCATTCAATCGCTTACTACATCACTTACCTATCGATTTCAGCTTAGCTATAATAGTGTAAGTTTTACATCGTCTCTAAGGTTTGTTTCTTATTGTTTTGTGCTTTTTCATTAATCTTATTAATAAAGTTATCTTGAAAAACAGTTATAACTTTAATTTTAATCTCTCTATTGAAAGTTTTCATGTATGGATGATCATTAGTTAAGCTCATAATTATTACATTGCTTATGTAGCAAAATAATTTAATGAATTTTTAAACTTGGTGATCCGTTTCGGTATTTTTTTTTCTGTAAGAAACAAAAGATTATTACTTCTTGCATTTCTGTTTAACTTCATTTTAAACAACTTCAGAACTATGCTATCAAAAGAATTCATGTTACTGTATGATAAATTTCATTAATTAACATTCTAAATTGTATAATTCATTGCATTAAATATTAACGTCTATCAGTTTAAATTATATTTATCATATAGATGACCCATGTGATTTTTTTCGTGTATAAATTTATTGTAAAAACAACAATAATAACAAATAATAGACATTTTTATCCTACAACTTTTACCATCTATAACAATATCATTTTATTTTTCTACTTCAACATGTATATGTCGGTATTTTTCTTCTTTTTTTTTCTCATTGGCTTAATATTTCTAGGTGATTTTCGACTGAATCCACTGTTTGTATATTGTCACTCTATCATACTAATCCGGGCTGTTATTTATGATAGACTACTGGTAATTGTAATTTACAAATGTCTAAAAAACAATTTATATAAAATTAGAAGTATAGTTAGATATATGGTACAGTAGGTTTGTACTTACTAATTACTACATATCTTTTTAGCAGTATAAACCACTATGATGATTTGAATTCAAATCTATATAAGATTGTGTAAATATGGAGGGAGGTTTTAGTGCTTGTCTTGTACTCAGAAGATCACCAGTTTTGAAGTCGTTCCCATCTATTTCTATCCGAGTAACTAAGACTGGTATAATTAGCCTCCATATAAATAGTACACCTCAAAGCCGAGCACGCAAACATGTACTTAGTAGGTTATATTGGTTTATAATGTTAATTTATGTCGATTGTCATATGCACTGCATTGATTATGACTGAATGATTGTAATAATAGTACGAATAGCCGAATATTTTCACTTATCAGAATTCATGGTTTTATGCTCGTTTTATAAAGGTAGGCAAATGTGAGGAAAAAGACCCCTACGTGCACTCACACTTTTCCACATGTCATAACAATACAAAACGGCAGATAAGGCACAAGATTCGCTTTTTTTCTTTTTTTTGGTGGTCCATCTAACTTTTAGATACCTGAGAAATATATAAGATTGCTGATTATATCTTATGTTCGTCATTCAGTCATAATATTCTAAATAACATTATATATGAATGATTATTTTAAGTCATCCAATGGTATATATCCATTTAGTTGAGCCATTGATTCATTTATATAAATTCTACATACAATTACAATTTTCGAGATCAGTTCCATGTGAAAACTATCGTTTCCACTTACGTTAATCATCATAACTTTCTTCATAATTCACCTCTTGGTAAATATTTTATCTTACATTTTTATTTATTTTTACCTTTAATTTTTCCATTTTAACACTAGGATCATACAAAGAATTGTAATGAGATTGCAGAATCTACAGATGTGAACTACATTTCACAAGGAAGAGAAATCACTATAAATAATAATGATAATTTGACTAAAAAAAATTATGCACCAGATATAACAGTTACAGTTAATGGATTTGTAAAACATTCACAATCTGACTCATCATCTCAGTATAATAATACACAACAACAGGCTGTGATTCGACCTTTATTACCAGCGAAATCCTCTAGACACTCTTCAGTGCTTAATAATGATAGTAATCATTCTGTAGATTCAACAAATTCATTCAATCAAAATAATAATATGGCTACTCTTATCTCTATTGGTTCTACTGATAATAACAGTAATATTAATAGTAATAGCGATAAATCATCAGCTATAACTATTACCACTAATAATAATGATAAGCAAAAACCTAGTCGTCCTTGTCCGCCCATAGTACGACTTAATCCGTCACGTGTATCAAATATAAACAGTGTTGGTGAAATACCTGAAGAAACTGATTGTTTAACAGAAAATCATTTATTTGCTGATCGTTTATTACATATCAGTTCAGAGGCAAGTGCCTATTTTGTTTTACATTCTGTTAATTTTAGAAGTATGGATTCATTACTTCCATTTTCTACACTATATCAAGATTTATAAACTCGTGAATTCTAGACTTATGCATGCTATGCTATTTTTTCAGTTGTGCATCAAAAGAACTTTTTTTAAAGTTTTTAATTTGACATGTTCATTTGTCATAAAATAATGGTTATAAATTCATGTTAAACAAATTTCGATTTTGCTTATGAAAATATAAATCGGTTCGTTTCCCTAGTGTTCTACATACATGATTTCCAGATTGTTGTTTTTACAATTTAAATTAAGCTTCAGGGTTTCATGTGCACAACTTTTCATCAGTAAACAAAGAATTTAAATTACTATCCACTCTCATTGTATTTTAAATCTGGGTACTGTCAGTAATCTTCACTAAACATATATTACCCATAGCTTATTACATCAACTCATGATCTATCGTTCAGTCACATTCGTATTCAGATGACGAATACTCCACATTTGTTCACTACTTCTTAGTGTACTCTAAATTTTTGGTGATTTTTACAAAACAGTTTTAGTTCATTCACTGTCATTATCTAATCATTACATTAACCATTCATCAATGTATGTATGTCATTAAACACGAAGTAGCCAAGTAATGAAAGCACATTAATCAAACATATATAATTCTCCTACTATTCCTAATATTTTCATTTGCGTCTAATTCTTTTTATGTTGAGAAAAATAACAAACTAAGATAGTTGGTTATTTTTTGTCGTCATTGTGTATGGCTTTTTTCTAATTTTTACAAATTCACTTGCTTTTTAGTAGAAAAAAAAAAATTTTATATATATACTGTTTGATTTCCATAGTTCATAACACTTCAATCTATATTCGGGTAATAAAAAGTAGATAAAATATTTGATAATTAAGTAAATTATGTAATGTTTAATATAGATCTTGATTTTTGTTGTTTTATATTTGAAATTTTTACTTGTTTTCATTTCTTTTTCGATGTGTAGGATTTGCTTAGTGAGGTAATGGATGCATTTGAAAAACGTCGTAGTGGTGTTGATTTTCGTGCATCTCAATCCATCGATGGGTAAGTCAACTATGAAAATGTACGAAACGTAAACAGATTTTTTTGTCTTAAGGACTATTCAACATAATAGTTATTCAGTATATCAATACTTCTTGATATAGTCTAATGATATCTGATAAAGATCACCTTATATCTCTTATTTACTAAAGTTAATATTATTTGGTTTCTACTCGTTAACCTAGAAAATATCATGCTCTTCTCAATATCTGAGTATTCTGGGTTCTATTCCACACTCAGTTGTGAAGTGTAAAACTGAAACAAAACAACCTTTGAGTGTTCCCTGGTTTTAAGTTATTTTTGAGATAATGAAAATCATATTCCTCTCTCTTTCTTAAGTCCATCGAATGTAGCATATAAACTGATTAAATGTTTTTTTTTACGATAGCCGTCAATACAAAAAGTATTTGTTACATTCGTTAATTTTTTAGAAAATAAGGAACTGTTTTCCAAAATTTTAATTACTTCGTTTTTTTTGCGACAATCTAATTTTCAGTTTCGATGTTAGTCGGATAGATAATAAGATCAAATTGAATGTGAGTTTCTGTTACTTATTTTAGTTTATAATATACATACTTTTCACTATTATAATTACTATTACCACTAACACTACTATTATTGTCATTATCATTATTATTGTCAATATACGAAACATCACTCTCCCGAATCTTGCTTTACCTAATTCGGTTTGATAACCAGGTAGGTTCCAGGCTCAAGCACGGTCGTACAGGCACTAGTATTGCAGGGTTTCATAAGGAAGATATGACCTGAAGCTAAATACATAATCCTTTATTTGGTTATTTAGTTACATCAAATTCTGTTATAATAATAAATGTAAAATAATTAAATCCTCTTCGTCATTAATACATCGGCTAAATTTATGTACTATTTGTGAAAGAACAAAAATTAACTAGATAATAAATCGACCTAATGTAAAATGAGTTGCGCTGAAATTTGCAATTTACATCAAAATTGTCAGTTATCTTGCCTTTCAATGTTTATCATGTAACTGATATGGTGCCCAAGAATTAGTTCCGACGGTCTTAATTGATTAATGAGTGACCTACAAACTGATTTCCTCTAAAGGCGTATGATAATTTATGTCTTTTTGTGTTGGTACTTTGTATACAAACATATCGTTTCAGTAGATGGTAAAACTATCCTTCTGACCAATGGTCTTGCCTTTAATTTCAAATTGTTATTATTATTATTATCATCAGCTTTATTCAATATTATGTTTTCGGTACACTATAGAATTCTCAGCGTAAAGTATTGCAACAAGTTTCCGTTTCTTTCTTCTTGGTCGGTCCTGGCGATAAATATTGAGTGATCGCCAGTTAGACGTTAGCAGTTCAGTAAATGAACATCTGAATAATGTGCATTCTTTTCGCTGTATATTGTCAGCAACCACATTGTCTCTTATTGAGTTTTTTGTAACTTTGACAACGAAAGGTTGTACACTTTTCAGAAACGCAGCAGAATAGGTTATGCGATTAATAAACATAATGATATATTGAAACAAACAACAATAGATAACTTGTTGAAATATCTAGATGGCAGGAACAGGTAGCCCAGAAGCTCAAGCAGGCCGACTCAAGTCATCAATTCGATCTCGTGGACAGCGATTTCTCTACTACATCGTATCATTGCAGTTCATTTATCGATCAGCGCTATTCTCTGTTATTTCACTATTGAAAATTCATTCATAAAATCATTGAAAACCTATTCCGTAACAGGAGCCATGCTTTTTTTCTTAACAAATGCTCATCTCAAAATATGAAATGAAACGGTTTAAATAATCCAAGCCTATTCAAGCATCATGTAAAAACATTGAGATAAAGTCACATAGCTTATTGATGAAACCTTTTTTAAATTAGTATCAAAAAGGGTTCATAAATATTAAATAATCATCAAAGTAGAAAGGTATTGCAGCATTTTTGTGTTTATTTACCGCTTAATATTTTTATGTCTTCTTGTTTCCTTTTTACAAAGAATGAATCACAAAATGATACTTCAATAATACAACCGAACATTCCTCTAGCGCCACGCTCACGTTCGAAACGACGCGCTCCTCCACCACCACCAATACAGCCATCATCTACAGCATTGAACGTTATTACAACGAATAACACTACTTCTACTACTACTAATAATAATATGTGTTCATCATTAGATCAAATTATAAATTTGTCTACTTTGGATATTGGCAGTAATATTTCAAAAACCGACAAGTTATACATCAATGGTATCTCTGCTCCATCACATGAAAATCATGTTGAAGAGACATCAAATGATATAACATTAAATTATAATATTAAAATAATTCGAGAGGATTCTATGAGCAATAATGAAAATGATGATGATGATAATGGTAATGAGACTGAAAAATACAATAGTTCTGTTAGTATAAATCATAATGGTCAATTATCCTCTTCTATAAATGATAATGATAAAACATTAACACCAGCTCCACCCAGACCTCCACCGCCTAAATTAAATAATAATCATACTGGTGTAACTTCTTTGCCAACACCTCTTCGAAATAGTAAACAAAATGACGACTCATCAAAGCATATTTCACGTCAACATCAATTAGAAATGGGTATCGGTCTTCCTCCTACTCCAAAAGTTCATGTAAATTATTATTATTTATTATGACTACATATAGCTCTTTGTTTGTTTTTTTAAACCAAAAATATATCAGAAATGGATTTTGTGGAAATTTTAGTAATTTAATAGTTGAATTCATGAGCCAATTAAAGATGATCTAGCTTTAATCGACTCATGAATTCAACTATTAAAAAAATATTACTCAAAATCGATTTCATTACAAACTAATATTCATTGAAGAATCATCACTTATATAGAGAAATATCAAATTCATATTAAAAATTTTTTTCGAACTACTGGGTAAAGTGATATTTGTAAATAAAACAATGATAAAAGGTTAATAACAAAATGATATGATGAATAAATTAAAAGAAATTATAATTAACTGAACATTTATGAAGCGCATTATATTCTACATTCAAGTTTATTTGGAAGATTTTGTAATTTACACAAATCAAGTTGATAATGTCATACTTGATACACTGAATGATATTATTGATTTACAAACAAATATTCAGTCAGTGGTTTTGTCCCTAAAAATTTATTCAACTAGAACTTAGGTATTATATTAGTTTTTTGAATTAGTACTTCAATCATTTTATTAGTCAATTGTACTGTTGGTAATGATGGTGATAAAGGAACCTTTCCTGAATTCTAACTGTTTTAAAGTAAAAATCAAATTGAATAATAATAATAATAATTTATAAATGGTTAATCAGTCAGTCTCAACGTAGAACCGGGTACGTATGTGCATCGGTTCAAGTTGCCACACCCCATTAGCACAGAGAGATGAAATTATTATGCCAAATCTTAGAGGAGTAAAAATAGTGACAATATCAGTGGTAATAGGAAAGATTTGGCATCGAAGATACGGTTCATGAGGATATAAATTAATGAAATAAAAATAATACCATTATTGTATATTAGCAAATATAAGAGGATATATAAACACTTCAGTTCTATTTATTGTTTACTTTAGGAAATCTGAGTTTCTAACCAGTTTTTCCGTTATTACTTTTTTTTCTCATCTACAGATGGGTGCTTGTTTTATGCAAATATTTGAAGGTTGTCCATTGAAAGTGAACTCAACTGCTACATGGGTAAATCCAGAAACTTTAAGTAAGTTTATTTTTTGAATTGACTACTTCAATGGTATTTATAATGTGAAATAAATCTCCCTACTTCGGTTACCATAATTTCATGAAGGTCTGCATATTGAACAAGAAAATAAATAGTTAAGTGAATAATAAATATATTTTTTGTTATTATCCCAATGAGTAGAAAAATTGTATTTTTTTGACGTTTTGTGACCTAATGTAAGCCCCTTTTATCAACTTATTGCTATATAAAAAAATAAACTTAATATTAACTTTTTATCCAATGCTCAGTTTATTTGAAACTATCAAGTCCAACCTTGGCGTTGATACCTATAAATAGTTAAATGATTATTGTTGCATCAATAATAGAACATCATGCAACTTGATTTGAATGAACGTTGAAATTAAAATAAATTACATGTAAAATGTGACTATTTGTATTTTATACTGTACCACATGATATACTTTAATGCCAAACTTGTGAATAGTGTTTACAAGTAGGATTGTACCAACGTAATACACATTAAACTGATTAGTATTACTTTGTTCCATTCAACTTCATAATCGTACAACATCGGTTTTAGTCTTTTAATTGTTGTAATCATACGTTGTTTATGTATTCCATATTGTAAAGTATCACCTTATTGATAGAAGTCTAACATTATATTTGTCCTTATTTTTAAATAACTACATCTCTTAAAAACACAATACAACTGTAGGATTATTTCCCTTATTTCAATTCTGTTATCGTTTCATATGCCCATTAATATTTCGTAATAATTTGTAACTTAATGTCTGCTTGTAACTCAACCATACATAATTTACTTTTTTTTCTAATGCTTCATATTTTCATATATTTAAGTTTTATCATTTTGACAAGAAGTCATTTTGACCTGCCTTGGATTAAAATAAATCAGTGCCTTGGTTTAATTTTTGGATAGAGACAGATTAAACTTTAATAAAGCCCGAAATTATAGTTATACGTATTTTGAAATTCAGATAAACAACTATAATCCCTGAAATATTTAATAATTAAATTTAAGGTAACTTTGTAGAAATTAATTTCGATATGAGATTAGTATTAGGATATTTGCTAATGTTAACCAATTAGTTAGATATTTTGGAATACTTTTTTTGAAAATAAAAAAGCAGCGTAATTAAATAACTGAAAATCAAATGTTTCGTTGAATTGAATTGATTATTTTGGTTTTATAGAGTTAATTGGTTTTATCCATTTGTCCACACAAGAAATGGTCTCGTATACGATGTACAAGTTTACTCTCTGAGTTTCGAACAGTATTTTTTATGTAAGGATCAGTGATACTGCTATTTGATTGTTTAAATTAAAGTAAACAAAATGAAATTTAAACTAGTTATCTATTAGTTAAAACCTGAACACTTTCAACAATAACCCACTGCTTCATACCAAAGTATTTCAATCAATTTAATGTTTTGTTACACGTACTTGACATATCTTACAATTATCTTCATTTTCGAAGCTTAACATTTTATCTAGTAGTTTATCCTGTTCAATATTTACATCTCTAAAAGATTGGATACTTATTATTTGATGAAGATATTTAAACTTAACGCATAATTGATTCGATTGTTTAACCCAAAATATTCCGTAAGAAAACATGTTCCTCAACTGCATTATATAGATTCATGTTGTGGATGGAAAGGGTGGTCAGTTTAATCCTTTACAAAAGCAATAATTCCAAGTTGGCAAATATTATTTTTCGTACTCTATTCATTTCAAAACTTCCTGTAATTGATTTCATCATAATTAACATAAATACGTAGATAGATGATCGACAAACTTTTTATCAAACTGTCTTTTACGTAAAGTAGAGGTTAAGTGATTAAGGCACTTAACTACCAATTATCAGTTCTTAAGTTCGAATCCTGCTCCACTTCAGTGCAGACACTTGAGTATCAGTAGCTCATTGCATGATTAAAGCATATCTCAAAAGCCGAACACACAAAATAGTACGTGTCAAGTAAATTGCACTAAATTACTCGCGCTTTAAAGGTGACTGAAATATGATATGCCAAGTATTTTCTCCCATAATTCACTAGGACATCTAAAAACATTCCTTATTTTATCCAAATTCTTGCTTATCGGGGTAGTAATGTATACATATTTCAAATTGACTATGCTATCATTGAAGGGTACACGTGGTCGTCTGGATCCACTTGCAATGAATATATATATACGTCTGCCATCATAACATAAACATAATCAATCGAGAGAAAGAGAGAAACATTTTTGTTATCGGATAAATTCTTCAACATATTTAGTAATTTCGAAACCATAATTAGTTAAATATCAGAATAAAGTTGTTTTTTTCTTCTCGATGATGACAAATATATTTTTATAATTAACATGATAAAATATTTCAAATACAAAAAATCTTCATTCAACATAAACGAAAAGAGATTCTTTTCGAAATCAATTTGTAAGAACTATTAGATAAAGGTTTGTAAGATGGCGGTATATAATTTTGTAAACATTCTATTCTGTTCAGTGTAATTTTTGTAGAATACATAAATTTTATTGATAATGATTATAATAAGTGGGTAACAAAATACTTGGAATTTTCTTTAGGTGTTTGCACTTACGTGGGTATTTGTGTGTTTTTATACGTGTATATGTATACCAATTTATATAAGAGAACTTAATTTCCACTGAATTATACTATTATTATTATTATTATTATTATTATTATTATTATTATTATTATTATTATTATTATTATTATTATTATTATTATAGAATAAATAAATTGTTCATTACGCGTAGTTATGAAATGGTTATCATTCCGTTGAATCAAGTCAAGTAGTAATAAATATATTCCTATGAGAGGATAAGTACAAGAAATATTAACTAGGTTTCATCATGTTTTTTTAAAAATAACACTTGATATGTTATGGTTAGTAGCTTTTTATTACTAGGGTAATGTAATGTTTACAAGAAAGCTAATTACAACTACCGTATTAAGTTAAATGGTTTAACGCTAAAATACTAGGATGTGTTCGAATAGATCATAAATTGATATCAGTTGAAGAATCATTGGAATCCGAAAGCATTGGTTAACTATTTCGCTCTCAGTTCAGGCTCCTCACTTACTTGTGGTCTTATTTTTACAAGGATTCAAAACTAGGACTAGGTCTTCCACTACAATTCAGAAAATTGAATACTGTCACCCATACCGTTGGAGAGGATATTTGTTGAAGCAGCATAGTGAGTGGTCAAAGGATAACTATTTCTTTTAGACGTGCATAGTTCAAGGTAGCTATTCAATCACATCTGGTAGTACTTTTTATGTGAAAGAAACGAATTCGGGGACATAATTTAGCAATAAACTCGTTCCGTATAATTGATCTTGATAGCTAAATATCTTAAAAGTGTGAATTGTAATCTCTCAGAACTGATTGTTTTGACAGATTCTCGAGGTTTTCGGATTAATTAATCTTACTGAATTCTTCACCTTCAGAGTGCATACTTATCCACATAAACTTATCAGTCATAGGAAAAACCAATTCTAGATTTACCTGAATGTGCATTCTTGTCTAAGTAATGCAATCCTTTGGCTTCCTCTCTGTGTGTTATAATTCACAATTCTTCCTTGGGTTATTTGGGTGGTTACTTTACTTTACCTCTTTATTTTTGCTCATTCATCTAAGTTTTATCGTTATGTTTAAACAATGCTCAGTAAGTAGTTGTTTGCAGATTCACATAATCGGATATTGGACTTAAAGTCTCCTATAAAATTTTCGAAATTCAAGCGCTTTACTCATCATGCCACCGCTCCTTCAAAACTTAAATAAAGTAGTTAGAAAAGCAAATTTTAGATATATAACTTCTTTCGGTCAAAGTTTGGAACGATTTCCCTTTTTTAGACATATCTGTATCACTGAGTTATCATCAATTGTCAAATTATATAATTCCAACATATAGAAGGTGACTTCCGGTAACGGATGCGGATTTACTCAGTTTCAATTTTCCTCCAAGTCTTAAACATTCAACTGGTTCACTGTCCTACATAAACTATAACCCTGTAGTCGTAGATTAGATTAATAAGTCATTAAATTCGGTATAATGTCAGTGAATAAAATCTCAGATCCTTTGCAAGGTTCACATCTATCAATGTATATCATTAGCCCCTTTTGGTTATGAATAACAAATTATTAAACAAAATCTATCCGATGGTCTATTTTTAACTATTTAAATCTGATGATCGAATATTCCTACTAAATACCTTTATTCTATGGTATACAAATGAATATTGATTGTTTTTGAAATTCTCTTGAATGCTTTTCATTGCTTCGATTAAAATTTATACATTCTCACTAAATTCATCGTTCTTATTGTCTATCATATAATTGGTATTTAAAGAGAAAACTAATCAAGTTTATGATTTAAGCTTTAAACCAGTAGCTATTGAAGCACTGCACAGAAGTATATACTGTTACTCGTCTTTTGTGATGAATCAATAGAATTAGTCTAGCAGTATATTTGTGTTAATAGTGGTGTATCTTCTGATACCATTGTACTTTCATTAAAAGCCAGGATGCATTGTATAAATTAGTGCTACTCATGATCGTCTTTGAATGTAAACAGTGAAGAGATATGATACGTTTATGATAAAAACAGAATGGAAGATATAAGGCTATTAGATTAACATTTATTAAGTCCTCACAACTATCTAACTAGAATCTCAAAGATCGTGTAGTTCAATTGCTTAGTTAGACATAATTTAGCGTATAAACTTTTATATATCTCTTTTGATTAAAATAAATCTGTCTTGTTTGTTTCCTTATTGGAAGTGTTTAACTGAAGACATCTTATTCTTGTGTTGATTTATTTAATTTTCATATGATTTCCTCGCTTACTTCTTTGTATGACGCATTTTTTAAAGCTCTGTTTTACCAAGCTTTTTCTCACTGTATAGAATATCTTCGCTTAGTGAAATTAACTCAACGTGTTTATTTTCTCACGCTCGAGTTATAAGCAAAAAATGTTCATTGACATACGAAACGTGTTATCAATAGATCTAGACAACTTCTAAATACATTAATTTGTTTTTTATTATATTTTTTACTAGAAGGCATTTGACTGTTAATTTCATACTCAATTATGAGAATGAATTCATCGTAAAAAGATCTGTTTTCCGTAGTGATCTACTCTTGCTTTCTGTATAAATTTTAATGGGTTATATATGTGCATATTTATCCCATGTCCCAAGATTTTTACAATTATTTTAATAGACTAGTCACTACTTTATCGTTTCGGAAATTGAGCAAAGTCATTCTAAGTGAAAATTAACAAAATCCACACAGACATAACAAGCTTGTAACCAATCTCCTGTTTTGTATACTTGTTGTAAGCGAACAATTAAATATTTGTAGGAAAGAGCAGAATAAAACTAATTTATTTGTTATTACTATAACAGGGTAAATATTGAGCACAACTGAACTTTCGAAACTGTTCTACATGAAACTATTGTTCGCATTTTTACTGTCTAGTTACCGAATACTTGGATTATTGTATATTTTTATTCCCTTAGTTGTAGGTTTTCGTTTGACTTATAAACTATTGTTATATGTTTTATCTTTTTCAAGTTGCTCGGTTATCTTCTTATGGCGTGGATATGCCTATTTTTTAATTTCTTAATTATATTGATGTATGATCAGGATTTTATTCTTTTTTTGATTGTGAGAGTCATTAAACTGAATTTTGCAGATAAAAGTTGAAAAACCTGCTGTTTTGTTGTCCTGTTATAGCTATTGGGCAAGCTAGCTTAGGCAAACTGCATTCATGGACTAATAAGCGTTCAGCATTACTCTCGGCTGTTATTTCAGTCATTGAATCGTTGGCCAATGAAAGGTCATTGTGTCCATTGGTTTTACGCCGAGAGTCTAAGGGGCTTAATCAATGCTCAGACTAGATAGATCTGTTATAACGTGAAAAATAATATGCTGCTGATTGAGGGTAGCGAATTATTGATCGGACCAAAGACGCACAAACACGTAGAACGACCTAAGGTTCTGATTGGTCCTGCTTCCCTGTATAGCCCAGCCACTTGAGTCCAGAACACAAGTTTCAGCCTCGGATATATGAATCATTATATTTCAAACATACTTTGTTTATATACCAGTCAAGCAGACCACAACGTACCATAAAATAGAAAATAACATTGTACAATAATGGCCAGTAGGAAAATAACACGTTAACTAAATATTGACCAATAAGATGATACCATTTCATGTCCAAGGATAGCATTAGGCTTAACAGGATAATTTTTGGGATATTTTCCCGAATATCCCAACACCTCCCTTTTTTTGCAGATCCGGAGTTGATGTCCGGATTTTAAATTTTTTTTCCGCGTCTATCCTCCCCCGCGAAATGATGTTGGGTCTTCATAAACCCAAGGAACAGTTAGTGTGACTCTATTTGAAGCATATTTCCCGCGTTGAGTAGAGAGTCCACTAGGACTGACTAGATGGTGAGGATCAGCGACAGTAGATCTGAGGTCATTAGGGTTTAAATCTTTAGTAAGTAGTGGATCATTATGATAATCGGCGTCCAACAAAACTGTACCAGGATCTTGGTTATTATTTGATGCGTGAAACACATTTTCTGGCAAAACAATGAGATCTTCTCGTGAGCTGGATATGTTACACTGCACATAAATAATCAAATTTGTTAATTGGTTTAATATGATTATTCTGTATGTAAATGATACATTTAACTGATATTTCTCTAAGATACATCGTTGTTCTTGCGTTCACTCATATTAATTGAGTGGAATCTAATAGGGAGAGAGGGAATATGTATGTAGGTGGGTAGGTGTCATAGAATTTTATGACTCAGCAATAAAAAAAATCAGTTCAAACGATTACTTATTGCTTCAACTATGCTTTATTTTATTGTATTAAGCAATAATCCACTTTAATTGATTAGGATAAAAAAGAACTATATGCCTTAGTGATAATGCTGTTAAACAACTGGTTAACATTTTTATTTTGTTTTTCATATTTCAAACAGCTTAGCCTTTGTTTATTTTTCATTAAAAGCCATCATCACTATTATAAATCGTAGTATGTGTAAATAAGATAAAAAAATTTGGGAGTAGGGAGAAACTTATTAGTTCGACTGTCATTTAGTGGAGAAAGTTTTTGCCACTGATATTTTGTGTGTTTATTGCACACGGAACAATTTACCATACTATACTACCTTTACTTTCCTCCTGAAGGTCAAATTATTCTGTTTGGCACGAACGATGGTATTTATTATCTTGATTTAGTCAATTTAGCTGATGGTACATTAGAGTTGGTAAGTGTGTTTTACTTTCTCTTTGCATTTATTTTATTGTCTGGTTACAAAATTAATTGATTGTTGTAATCAATGAATCTCTTGTTGCTTTGGATGTGCGCACATATATGTGCATACAAATGCATTTATATAATTAATATATGTTGACTTTATAATGTATCACTAGAACTAATTGTTGCTATCATGATAACTGTGGAACTATCTGATAACATTTCTGTTAGGAATATTTATATACAACATTAAGACGAAGATCGAAGCCTATGTTTTACTTGCCTGTGAAAATTATCTGACGCAATCTTAAACCTCCGTTAACTACGGTGGTTTAGGAATGTGTCACACACAAACCCAGTCTCTGCCTACCCGAGGATGTACTATTGCCTAGTTTAGGCATTGATTAGCAGGATAAAAGTGGACATATTGGCAATCCATGGTTTGGGTACTGGATTAGTACAAATTTTTATCGACTTAAGAGATACAAATGTTTTCATAGTTTTCCTCCTTTCTGATTTCATTCGTTTTTTTCAAATTACCTCCTCATGATTAACTTACAACCTTGGTAAAATCATTGCAACTCTTAATTTCCATAATTCTGTCTTTCTTCTCATTGAACTAATCTGAAGTTGGACTAATACACATTTCTGTCATGTCCTATGTTGACGACTAACTTACTTTACTCTCATTGAAAAAAATGTGATTTAAGTAATCACTACAATATCACTGTTCATCTGAATAGAATACGTGATGACATTTCTTAAGTGCTACTTATCAGTTCCCTAAACCCTACAAGTTCGCCTTGCTAAAAAGTGCTTACTGCAACAGGATCCACGTTCATGCTTTCTTGTCGGCTGCCTCCAACAACCTGAAATACAATGTTTATCTCTGTCTGAAGACTTTTATATAAAAGTTTCAATCTATTTTGCATATATTCCGTGAGTAGCATAGAACTATCTTAGAAACTTCACAATTATTGAATTTTTGTTTAAATTAGATGATAATTTTTTTCAATAGCCAATCCGGATATGACTTTGTCCATAATAGTTAAATTTCGTTTCAATAGTATTTTTTAAAATGTATTAGTTTGTGCATATTAACTTGTTATGAATGTTTGAGTGTATGTTGGAACGTGCGTGTGTGGATATGTTTCAATTCTCAGTTTTGCATAGAAATCATTAATTCTCTACCCTTTTTTCTATCGAACACTTGGCTTCAATGATATGTATACTATGAACAAAAGTTATTACTGTTCATATTTATGTTTTAAAATTCACAGGGACTCGACCGATCTCGTCTCGTTTTCCAAAGATCCGGATTTCGTTTAAATTTAACGACTTTTTTTAACGATCACGTCAATATCGATAATTCCAAAAATGGAGGATTCTCCACATGGGAAAATTCGTGATTAAGTAAAAAAAACGTATCGAAAATAAATTGGTATTTCCTAACTGTACTACCATTACTTTATGGTTGCAGATGAAAGTTAAGAAAGAAATATATTTTTATGTGCCTCTATCTAGTTAACATCACAATTTCACAAATACGTAACATAAGTACCGTGTGCCACGAAGTTACATGTTTTTTTCTGCAATCAATCAGATTCCAATTTCATCTAATCTATTTGTAAACAGACATGAATAACGTAGAATTCTAGTAAAAATATTTATTTGCCCAACTTTCGACATTACCAAGAAAAGTAAAAAGTGATTAAAAAACCAGAACTGGTCTAAAATTAGAATTATGACAAAAAATCTATAGGAAACGAATAGTACTGGGAGTCGACAGTATGTTTAGCAACTTTATAGAATATAATGAATGAGTATACTTGGATCGTTTCGGTTAATTTCATCTCATGTCCCTTAAGCTCTGTATTCATTAATTAAAATTTCCCCAAGCCCCTTACAACACACCCTAGTCCAACTAGTCGATGACTTTGTAGACTCGTGTTGTCTTCGGATCTGGTTCTCTCTAGTACTTGTACAAAATAATTAGTTATCATGGTTACGTTGAATAAGGTGAAACAAACGTTTTGTGGACACAACAGATGTTACCTACAAATGCTATTCATTATTGTTGGTTTACACCACTCGGTTAGTGAGTGACCACAGATGCCTTGGAAATATTGTCAGCATCTGCTGGGATCACCGGGTAAGTAATAGTGAGGTTCGACACAAGGTATTAGAGAATGATGGTAAACCAGTTGATGAGGTTGTGAATCTTCATCGACTGAGATGGTTAGGTCACGTGTTACGAATACCTGAGCATTGATTACCACGACGCACAATGCTGACTAGTGTTGGGAATGGTTGGAAGAAGGTTAGGGGCGGCCAAACTAAAATGTGGCATCAGTGCTTGAGGTCACTAACTTTTGGTGTGAGTCATGTTGGTAGATGCAGACTACTTGGTTGGGGTCTGCGTGACTATCGTAACCAATGGTTGCAGACTCTTGATGACATGGATGAGAATCGATCACAATAGCGTCGGTGTATACGCTCTTTGTCTCCCTTTAAACTATGAATTTTAAATCACTTCATATCTTTCTTTCTACGAACTAATTCTTTCTCCCTGTATTATATCCTTATATGCAATCTTTCTTTTATATATTACATTATTGAGTTAACTGCTTCTATGAATCTGGTGTTCATCTTGCTGTGTTAATGAAGTGTGGCAACTTGGACCGATGCATATATGTGCCTAGTCCCACGTCGTAGCTGACTGACTGAGTTCTCTAGTTGTTATATATATATATATATATATATATATATATATATATATATTACAAGGGATATAAATTTCATAAATACATAACCTTTCAATTTTTTTAAGACGACCGCTTCATAAGACTATTCTTTCGTTTCCCACTTATTAGCTTGTTCCAAGACGATGTCTTTGGTTATTTGTATTCAAAGATACAATGATGTCAATATCAGGTCAACATCCTCAATTATTTAGTCATAATTTAATTTCATTGATGAAAAGTCGAACATCACAAACACGATTTCTTCATAAGTAAGTTTCTGGGGGCAGGATATGTCCCCTCGCTATGTTTCATTCTTACATGTCAAGAGGTTTTGTTCATTTCATGTGGACCATGTTAGTTACAACGAAAATCGCTATTATTATCTACCTCTTTTTCACAAGCTGGAAATGAAAACTTATTAGATATCCTATTGTGTGAGCGTGACAAGAGATGCAATGCTAGACAATGTATTGCATCATTTAGTTGCATGTTAAGGGTGACTGAAATTCAACGAAAAGTAAATTAAATAAAAATAAGGAGAATTCAGCGAAGAAAATTTTCTTTTCGACGAAATCATTTACCTAAAGTAAATTATCACTTTCTTCAATGGTTAATTTCGTTAAACGTGTATGATATCAATCTCCACTACATCATTTTCCTAATGCTCAGTTAATTCAACAGTTCCCTTTACCGTGGATGGTTATGACATTTTCCAATTCCAACCACTTCGTAATTATAGTCCACTCGTCACTGGCAATCGTCTGTTGTCATTATCGGATGAATTTTGCATATGAGTTATCGCCGTCTATTGGAATATAAGGAACACTTTCATGAAGGATTTCACCAATGATAGCGGACTGCTACTCAGGATTGTTGAATAATTTCAGCACTGTTTACTCGACAAAAATATTTGTCATTATTCATGAAAAATGACTTCAATAATCCGCGTATTTGAGACACGTTACGAGCCTACAGAATAAACGAAGACTAAATAGTCAATGGAAGTATTGCCTTTTTCTAAGTTTGTCGCAAAAATGAAAACACTTTATGAAGCATCTCTATCGGTCTGTAGTTCAGTTGTCCACCATCCGATTATAACCTGAATAAGTCAAGGATAGTTTTCACGCACTAAGAAAATAAGTTTTTCCAATAATTTCTTGAAATCAGTCGTCATTGTTATGTAATCAACATATTTCTCTTCTTAATTATAACGTGTACATAGTCAATTATACAATTGGTCTGAAAACTGTAACATTTTTTTGCCTTATAAATTGAGCAAATGTTCAATGATGTATATATATCCAATTAATTTTATATGAGGAGCTCTGTTTACGCTTGTTGTACAACAGCTATCGGCATCTTTTAAGACCGATAACAGGTACACGTATCTCTCTGTGTTTGTATATATATGCACACACCATGCGCTCTTTTGACTTTGTGACTTAGAAAGTGCAATGGGAAAGATCTAATTTTAAAAATTCGTTCCTAAAACTTTGAATAGATTTTTTTCTCTACAAAAGCATTTGTGCTCTCTATACTAAAACTTTTTGGATTATAATTTAGACTGTCTGAAATTCCATTCCTTTTTTGGCAGATTATATTTAATTTTCAATACACTTGGCATTATTATTATCTTTGTTGTTTCGAGTCATTTTTCTTTTTCGTATTGCATTAATACGACTGGAAAATATGGGATATGTATATTTGTTCTCAGGCTTCTATGTTCTGTATATGTATGGTTAATTGATTCAATTATAAGCTACTTACATCCACCTCAAATTGTTGAAATGTAACGATATATTAGTAAAGAATGTAGAAGTTATAAGATGATAAAGTGTTTCAGGCGATATGTGACTAACTGAACAAACATATTTTTAGAAGTGATTTATGTATAATCGAAATAGTAGTGATAATTTTTATTGATATTCAAGATCAATGATTTTGGTAGGTTTGTATTCTCTAAAATCAAGGTAATTTCAATTTGAAGCTTACATTACTTTAATACAAGTAAACTAACAGCTTATTCTGTCGATATTAAATTTGATTGATTATTGTCAACGTTTATCCTGTCATTCTTTGCAGACAAATATCAGGAAAGATAATGAAAGCTTCAAGGTTATAACATCTAACTCAAAGAATACATTCTCGCCAAAAACGTATGGTCATTCAGTATTATGAATTTATTTATAGTTCTTATCATGAAGTAATATTAGTTTAAAAATCATTAGAAACCAAAATGTATTAGACGGTTCTCTTTTGTTTCGTTAGTTGTGACAGCTTGGAATCGCTCATCTATGACGCAATACTGTCCCATGGAATTGTTTTTAGGACCTCTTCGAAATTCATACACCTATCTGGCATAATGCTTACCACGACTAAACACTATTTGAAATTTGTTACATAAAAAACAGCTTTAGTAAATTAGTCATCCATTGTGTTTAATTATAAGAGAAAAACAAGATACCAATTTCAGTAAATAACTAAATGGATGTGCATGTACATTTTTTTGTTGACAGCCAACATCACAACAACTACAAAATGTGCCTTTTCAAATTAATCTATTTAAATAGTTTTGAACAGTTTGTTTTAAATTATTGATCTGCAATATGGTGATGATTGATGAATGAGTGTGACGATGATCACTGAAATATAACTATAAACAAAATGCACAATTTTTTGTGTTCAGTCAAAATTATTTCATCCTTTTTATCTGTATATAATGAAATGGCAATATATAATGTACTTTATAGTCTGTGTGTTAAGTTACCATATATAATCTGTAAACTAATGGAAAGATCAGACAGTTAAATGGAGTAGGGATTTTTTGCAACTGACAAAAATAGGATTGTACCGTATGTTAATCTACGCAACCGTTTCGATGATAAAACGATGTATAAAGATGTAAGAATGATATAAACTACTTTGATGCATCTGGCGATAGTTGAAAACGTGTTGAACAACAACTTAGTTAATTTTCTATGGGAGAAAAAATGTGCATTAACGCTGTCAAGGAAAGTTTTCTTAAAATAATGAATATTTGTCGATTGATCTAGCGATTAAGCATTGCGTAAATCTAGTTAGTAACTTAGTAATTAAAACCACTAAGTTTTCAACTGTCACACAGCAAGTTCGAACCCCAGATTCGTCTTAGTCAGCTGAGTAGTATCACTAGCTTTTGTATGAAAGAGCTTGTAATTGGAAGCCTATTACATACGTTCATCGATTGCTATTGTTTAGATAACCTACTCTAAAAGATCTTTTTTCAAATCAAATAGTCAGATAGTTGTTCTTTTTTCCTTCGTGTCATTTTTTAAAGACTACTTTTCTCTTTCTTTGGTACGTTTCGGAAACTACCTATTATTACAATACCACTTACCTTTGTCATAATGGTGACTAGTTTACTACATTAAATTACTCTTAAATAATTGACGTTAGGCTGAGCATTACGACTTCTTCCTCTCGGGGAGGGGGAGATTGTGGAGGTGGTTGGATGGTGAAATGTTATGTCGGATTTTAATGTCTGTTTAATCTTTATCTCTTTTACACGCATACTATCATGTTTAAGGCGTTTTCAACCAACTGTCAAAGTTCCAGACACACGGGGTTGTTACATTGCAACCGTAGTACGTAATCAATTCAAAGGGATGAAATATTTATGTGGTGCTATTGATAAAAGTATCGTTGTTATGGAATGGTATAATCCAAGAAATACGTTTATTGAAGTGAAACGTGTAAGTCTCTGTGAATATATATATAATTCTCTTAACTCCGTTTTTTTAATTTTAGCCTATGAACTAAACCTTGAAATAATTAAATGGAGCAAAATAGAACCTGATATCTTCTAATTAGTACACTTTACAGCCATAATTCTAAAACTTTGAATTCCTATATAATAGTAAGTATCAGTAACAACAAAAGGAATATTGAATACATCTGTACCATCTTGTTCATTTTCAGCGAATATGAAACAAGTGTTTTAGTCTATGGTTCTTTCAGTCAGTCAGTCATCTTTGAAATTCTTCGGATAAACGATTAGTGAATTCTTGAGTCGAACCTCTATGTATCCTATCCAACATTGTCTAAACCAGAGCGACACAGGTTTTGACTATATTAATAAATGGATATTCATAAATTATTCACTTAACAACGTATGTGTGTGGAGGTCTGGAGATTATTGATTGGTATTGATATTAAGAATCAGTATAAGCTAAATATCCATTTAAAACCAGAAAGCACGGAACAGCTAATAAGTTCTGGTACGGTACTTCTCACCAGTGTGCATCCATAAACCCGCAACCGCTGATTGAGCTCAGAAACCTTGGTCTCACGCGTTAACGCTGGGCTCCAATATAGATTTTTTTGAGGTTAAACATATACGCCAATGAATTGCGGCTCAATGGTCTAGTGATTAAGCGTTTGCACGCAAGCTGAGGGTCCTGGTTTCCACTCATGACCGTGAAGTTGTAGGTGCGCACTGTTGAGGAGTCTCATACTAGAACGTAATAGCTGTCCAGTGTTTCCTAGTTCTCAATAAATATCTAACACATTGGTCCGTCGCATTTGGTAATACGTACCTATGTTATGATCATGCTTTTACTTACATAGTATCAGCCAGTCATAAGTTTTTAAGCTCAGTCAGTCCGTCAGAAACAAAAAAGAACTTCGTACGTACGTACATCAGTACAAACTGCTATACCACATTAGCACAGAGATACAATTGTCTATTCAAATTCCATAGTGGTAGAGGTAGTAAGTGTATAAACAGTAGTCGGAAAGATTTGGGTTTGAAGATGTTGTTCAAGCAGCATAATCCAGTGAAATAAATTTGGAAAACGAAAAAAGAGACACGAAAAACTCAGAAGATTAGAATTCGGGAGAACACAAAGATTAGATGCACCTGCGCCATTGGAAGCGATTTTGAGCTATGTCATTCAAGGTCTCTAACCATCGGTTGCTATCATCTCGCGGATCCCAACCAGGTAGTCTACACCTCCGCTTGTCAGCAACTTCATGGATTTATGCCACGTTTTGGTCTGGTCAACCCTAGCTTTCTTCCAACCTAAACCATAAAACATGGCATGTCGGCGGTTGGGATACATAACAAATATCCCAGCCATCTCAACTGATGAAGTTTCACTACTTCGTCAATTGATTTGCCATCCTTACCTAGTACCCGTTTTCTAACAACTGCATTACTTACTCGATGGTCCCAGGATATACGAGCAATGTTTCGAAGACACCTATGATCGAATACTAGTAACCTACGAATATCCTCTACTCTTACCGGCCATGTTTCACTGCCATAAAGTAGGACAGAACGAACTACTGTGCAGTAAACCCGTCCTTTGGTTGGTAGACGGATATCTCGCCTACGCCACAAATGACGCAAGTTGGCAAAAGCTAGTCGAGCCTTCTGTATCCGTGCTGAGATTTCGTCACACACCAGACCACATGGGCTGATGAGACTTCCAAGATAAGTGAAGCGGTCGACACGCTCAATTACTTCACTACCTATCATTAGTTCGGGTGTCAATGCAACCCAATCCTGAAGCAACATTTTGCATTTCGAGGGAGAGAATCGCATCCCGAACATGCTTGCATTGTTGCTTAGAGTGGTCAGAAGACTCTGCATTTTGTCAGCTTCTTCACCAAATAGAACTATGTCATCGGCATATTCCAAGTCAACAAGTGAACCTCCCGGTGGAAGTTCAACCCCTAGAAAGTCAGATGAGCATAGTGTTATATCTAAAAGCACAGCAACGACAAAGTTAAGTAAGAATGAAGAGAGTGGACAGCCCTGACGAACACCACTTGAGGTAATCAATTCTGATGACAGTTCGCCATAAGCTCTCACTCTACCAGTTGTGTTCGAGTAGAGAGCCTTTATAAGGTTAATGTACTTCTTTGGTACTCCTTCCAGTGACAAACACTGCCACAGAAGCTCACGATCAACAGAGTCGAATGCTGCTTTAAGATCGAAAAATACTACGATTGTGGGACGTCTGAACGTGTGTCTGTGTTCTAGAAGCTGACATAGTGTGAATATCTGGTGTATACAACTACGTCCAGGTCGAAAACCAGCCTGATTTTCTCTAGTCTGCTCTTCACGAGCTTTGGTTAGGCGTCGAAGTATTATTGAGGCTAGTATTTTAGACACTATATTAGTCAAACTGATTCCTCTGTGATTGTCACAGGAGGACTTATGTCCTTTCTTATAGATTGGCACAATCAGTGATTGAGACCAGTCCGATGGGATTACGTCCAGTTCCCAAATTCTACCTAAGACCTCGGTTAATCTCATTGCTAATACTGGACCACCATCCTTAAAAATCTCAGGAGTAAACCTGTCAGGGCCTGCTGCTCTCCCTCGTTTCAGATTTCCTATGGCTTTTTCAACTTCGTAAAGGGACGGAGGACCTACATCAACTTGCCATTCATGTCGACTGGAGATTGTGGGAGACCGAAGTGTAGCTGAAAGCCAGTTGAACTGATCCCTAGTGTTCTGCTCATCGATCCAATCTCCTGGGTTGAAAATGTATAATATGTCCATCTTTTTCGGAAATACTTTCGCAAACAGTCGGGTTCCTAATTCCTGTTTCCTTAACAAGTCTGAACAGTTATCTGCTATTACCTATTGCCGCTGCCTTTTCTATCTCTCTTGCTTTCGCTGCCCACCACTGTTCACGGTCATTGTGTTGGATTCTTATCAGCCTGCGCTTGAGTTGACTCCGCTCTTCGTCATGTTCAGAGCTAGATGGGATGAGTTTTTGAGTATCAATCAGTGCAGTGGGTGCTGCTGAGATCCAGTATTTCCCCCTAACCTTACTAGCAGATATCACTACTGTTTCCACAGCTTTACGGATATCATTACATGCTGCCTCAGGTTGGGCATCACATACATGGGCGCCTAACTGTTTTCCTAGTTGTTCCTGAAATATATTCTTAGCTTAAGCTTGTGAGCTGCTTTGTTTACAATACTTGTTTTTAACATAACCTATAGAAAGTTTTAATTAATCTCTCTATTTTAACCAACTTCAAACAATTTAATGATTTGATGATAGTTTTCGTCACAGACTGATATCAACTTATAAACCCCTGAAGATAATGGTTTCGATTTTTTTGACAAATTTTGTGATTGTTTTAAGAAATACAATATATCTGCTAAATAACTAGTTAGTATATTAAATAAAACCAAATGAAAAACAAAAATTTATTGTTAAAGAATTTTTAATTGGTAACTATTAATTGTAAGCACTTTGGAAGAAGAATTAGCATTAATCCATGTGTTTGTAAAGATTCATAGTCAGTACTTTTAGGTAGTTTTATTTTTCTACTGCATTACAATTATTACTTTCAATATCGAATTCGGAATATCTTACTACTATCTGGTTAAAATCTAGAACAAATTCCCCGCTTTTCTTTATGCATAATATGGTGCTTCCGCTACATAACTAACAGCACTTCAATAGTATTTTCCTTATCATAGTGATAAGAGAGAAGGTGGTGTATAGCAGCAAGACTTTTCTATTCCAGGCGAAGTTAAAAAGATAATGCTATAGATCTGCTTATACAATATCAACGATGACCTTGGAAACATAAGATACCAAACTTGATCTGGAAAAATCTAATCAGAGAATAACGGATGTTTGCGTAGTTACTGTGTTACCGAGGTAGGTTATCGTTGACTTCCTCATCCACCAGAACTTAGAATTATTAATAAAAGGAAATAGCTAGATAAATTGAGGTCTTCCTATCGCATTGATACATTTTTCATAATGCTAATGAAAAAGATCCATTTTCTCGGAATTCCATATATATTTCTTACTGACGGTTGCCAATTAGCACGAAACGTGAATCCTCAAGATGCCTTGGTGACTGCCATTAATCACCAAGTTTATCGACATACCTAGGCAACATGACCATTGGCTATTAGTTTTTGATAAATCTATGTAATACGTTTGTGAGCTATGCTACCAGTTAGCGACTCCATGTTAAATGGTGATGAATTATGACCACTGCTTACCCACTTCTTCCTTCCCCGTCCACTAAAGGCAGAAGTTCTAGCTCGTCTAAAAGTTTTACTGATAGATACCGAAGAAGAATGATTCATGTTCAACACCACTCAATTAAATAATGATTGCTTTCAGTGATTATTAGTTAGAAAACTTGTCGAACTGAATAAATGTCACCTTACCAAAAAATCATAGTGAATTAATGAAAGTGCACTGTAGGTCAAATCAATGTAATTCACACGGAATCAGTTGGTATAATCAAAGTGCACTGAAAATAAATAAATTAAAACTGCTTTAATCAATATGTGATCTGCAATACTGATTACTTCCTAATGTGTTGTGCATGACTACTTAATATCCCTAACACTTCTTTAATATAGTGATTGTCGTGGGTCCACTTAAAATTGAACCGTTCACCGCCCTCGTATGTTTAGCCATCAGCGACGTAGGTCTAGTCGCCCTAGCTGTGTCATTTCTATACTTCTTTCTACTTTGTTGTTCTACTGTGGTAGACTGAAAGTGTCTGTTAGTATCTCCATCTGTAAGTTGCTTGTTGGTATCGTACACTTCCCCACTACGCATCATCGTAACTGATTAAGATACCTTTTCCATTTTTCCCTTCTAACCGCCACCTCATATATTACCTAACCCCGTCTCCCAGTTATTGACCACTCTGTCATGTTTTAGTCTGTAATCTCAGACATACAGGAGATCCGATGTTGACCAATTTTTCACAGATAATCCTTTTAAATAATATTTCAATTCACGACCTATTAGATTTTCTACTGTTGATTTTCGACTCGAAAGTGATTCTTTGAATACTGTCCCTTACATAAGTAAAAGGTTGTGCAGTATCTCGGCTGACTTTCTGTCCCCCTCCGGTTTCAAGAGCTCCTTTTGAATGTGTCCACAATTTTCTCTACTGGTTTAGTTGGCTGAGGATGTTATAGCGATGGACGGATTTGTGTGATGAGTTTTCTCCAGAAAAAATTGGTTGTAGATAAATTGTAACACGTCTAACCCCACTCCAATAAAAAAAATTATCTGTCAGTAACTAGAGAGCTTTATTTTTTTTGTGTCACCACAAAGAAAACGGTTATCCGCAATACATAATAGTTTACGTTGGTTAAGGAGTTTCTTTAGCTCTACATTAAGATGATTCGGTGGCCGTACATTTTTGACAAATCTGAACTCCTGGACTAACAAGTCGTTGCTGTATTCGGATTGTATGTCTGTAGCCGACGTTAGTGAATGTCGAACACCATTTGACAAATGACACTCTAGGTAATCTTCTATGGAAAGCATTCCTGTAATTGTTTCCTCTTCGATGATAGGATAACCCTCTGATTTATAAGGTTGTTTCATTAGATTACATACAGTACCTAAGAGCATGTCGGATAACTTCGGTCAATCAAACCAATTATTTCCGAGTAAGTTTAGATCAGCTTATGTTAAGTAGTACACTTCTGTGAACATGTTTTCCTGGAAGCATATAGTACACTGTAATCTCCCCAGCAAGTCGTTCAAACAGTCTACTCTGGAATTTGCGTACGTTCCAACGCTTTGGTGATATGATGATAATGTCTATAGCTGCAACCGATGTGACTACTCGTTGATACTCACTGTATGGAAATTCCTCTTGTCTGTGGGCTGTGATTTGACATATCTCAAACAAAATTAAGAAGCTTCCTACAGGTTTGAATATGGACTTTTTTAACGTCAAAACTAGAATCGAGAGTGTACTGGGTGTCAACACCCATCTCGGTGATCAACACATTTGCACTAATGGCAACGATTTTGTCTATGGAGGCAGATTCTGACTAAATACCACTCTTCACTCTACCAGTACGGTGATATTGGCTTCTTTATGTTCACGGCAATAGAATCAAATGTTATGGACTAGGTATGGTAGAGTCAAAATTAGAGGTACCACATGATTTGTGTCTGACGGATTGTTTGGACTTTAGAATTGCTTTTGCTTCCCGAGTGAAATAGGATGGTATCGTGTTTAAAACCAAATATTCATTAGCAATATCACTTATCACTTATCTCCAAACTGCTAGCCCTGGTACGGCCGAGAGTGGGGAGAGTCCGCTCTCCCTCTCGAAATACTCTCACACGGCCACGCGTATATAGCCTCTGCCAGGGAAGTCCTACTCATTGCCTTCTCGTGGCGGGGGTGTTGTTTACGAAAATGAGAGGACGAGAAGCGAATGTCCGGCGCTTTAACCGGATTCCAAACCAATGGTGCACATGGGCTCCAGTATCCTGCGGGAACGAATGGCGTATGAACCAATCGTTGGTCACCGGCTACCATGGGACTGCATCTCCTTACGATGCTCCACTGCCTTGTGGGTTAGACCTTTAGGTCAAAGGCTCGGGGAGTGGCCCCCTAAGATAACCACCTGCTTCGGTTTGGGCACCCGGGCAGTATCACAGCCCACACACAAATGATGAACTGTTTATGTCTATGGAAACTACTTTTGTCGCTTTGAAAAACAATCAATTGATTCAAATTATGATCACTTCAATTATTGTCATTCTTAATACTAATATTATTATTACTACTATTATTGTCATTATTGTTATTATTATCATTATTATTATTATTTTCCACATTATTCACCTTCTTTTATACTTATACAGCGGCTCGTCTTTGGTGGAATTCCGACTGTATCTAAACGTTCTCGAGTCACTGTCCGGTTGAAAATTGTATGTTACCACCGAATACGAGGACTGAAGCAGATTTTCTGAAACCACGTGCACCATTCAAACTGGCTGCCTTCAACGTTCGCACATTTATGCAGGTCGGACAACAGATAGGGCTGGCTATGTCTTTGGAAAGTCTTAATATCGACGTGTGTTGTCTATCCGAGACCCGTATTCAAGACTCTGTCGAAGTACTACAAATTCGATCTCCATCTGTCGCTTCGAAAAGCTTGTTTTACGTGCGCTTATCCGGGGACCCTGTGGCATCTTCGTCTGGTTTTGCTGGCGTTGGTGTCGCACTAAGCGCTAGAGCTGAGGCAGCACTAGTCGATTGGATCCCCATTAACAGTCGGTTATGTGCTGTTAGATTAGAAAGTTCCATCAAAGTGAGAAGAAATCGGCGTGAGAAACGATGTCTTTTCGTCATCTCCGCCTATGCTCCGACCGATTGCAGCCCGGATGCAATCAAGGATGAGTTTTACCACCAGTTATCAGTTCTTCTCCAGAAAGTGCGTTCGACAGATATTGTAGTACTAGCCGGAGACTTGAATGCTCAGGTCGGGCGTCTAGGCACAGAAGAGAGTCGTTTAGGTGGCCGATGGGGACTCGTTGGTCGCAGGTCAGATAACGGGGACCGTCTACTGCAACTTTGCGCAGACCACAACCTGTTTCTGGCTAGCACTAACTTTCGGCACAGTCATCGCCGATGTGCCACCTGGCGTCCTCCCTCTGCATCTCAAGCCTGGACTCAGATTGATCACATCGCGATCAGCTACCGCTGGCGTGGTTGTGTACAAGACTGCCGCTCCTTTTGGAGTACCTATCTGGACTCTGACCATGCCTTGGTCTGCGCCAATCTTGCCTTACTTTTCAGTGGACAACGAAGTGAACGCCATCAAAGGATTGATGTTAGCAAGCTGGTTGCAACTTCTGTTGCAAGTAAGTATCGAACTGAGCTAGCCTCTAGGCTAGCTACCACTCCACCGAAAAGTATAGATGAGCATTGGTTGCAATTGCATGACGCCATGAAAATGGCGGGAACAGTCAGTTGTGGGTTTGCGAAACGTCCCGCTTTTAAGCACTGGGTTTCTGCAGGTTCCTTACAACTCATTGAAGCCCGTCGGTCTACTCCGGGTAACCGTGAGTTTGACCATAAACGAAGGATGTTACGTAAGGAAATCGGGCAAAGCTTGCGTAAGGACCGAGAAGCCTGGTGGTCGATGCGTGCTAATGAGCTGGAAGCAGCAGCTGCATCTGGTAACTACCGGAAGCTCTTCCAGCTCATCCGAGCCACTGGCAGCAAGAAGTCTGGTGTGAGTGAAACAATCTGCGAGGATGATGGGATGCCAATCACTAACATCCATCGACGTCTTGGACGATGGGCAGAATTTTTCGAAGGGCAGTTCAACTGGCCTGCTGCTCCGGTAACATCGGTA